CCCAGAGGGGCATCGATGGAGACCTGATATCCGTCCAGATGAGAGTTCAGCAGAAGGTCCAACAGGGAAGGTACATGATACTCCACGTCTGGGATCCGCGTAGGCGAAGTAACCAGTTGTGTTAGACCATATTCCGACGCAAAGTCATAGACAGATCTACCCGCATGATTGGTTAAACAAGAACCAAGCCATTGAGCGTGGTGGGCGTTAAAATCACCGAGTATCACGATCTCTGCGGATGGGACCTGTTGTAGCACGGAGTCTGCAGTCATTAGGATGTGGTCGCTCTGTGTCGGTATTATAGCTATGGGACCTATAGATGCACCCGTAGACGCGCGGATGGTCGCCGCTATCTACGCGCAGCCATAGGATGGACATATCCGTACCTTCAAGACTGCCGAGGCGTCGAAAACAGATATCCTCTCTGATGTACACGCAAACTCCAGCCGGGGGCACAAAGGAGTGTTCCAATTTGTACCCTGGGTAGGAGAGATACTAAGTATCAGCCGGAGAGGACACCTGTATCTCGGTTAGAAAGAGAAAGACTGGCTTTGCTATCTCCAGTTAGTAGTGGACGATGTTAGCAGACAGCTCGCTTACGCGAGTGAAGCGAGGCAGCTCGCTAGCGCGATTGCAGTGAGACAGCTCACTGGCTCGAACGCAGTGGAACCGCTCACTGGAGCACGTTTAGCTGGGGGTGGCCTGTGTCTTCAGTGTATAGTACGATCTGTGCCGTATGTGCAGTGTTCCTCTGAGAAGATTGTGTTATCTGTAACGTGCGTTAAACTCTAGTACTCGTAGGAGCGTTGTATGCTAAAATCTGATTTGGACAATGTTTTCAATTCTTTAAAAGCTCAGTCAGTATGAAATGTATTCCAAAGTTCATTCATTGTGTGCTGTTGAATAAAAATTTATAAAGATTTGAAAACAGGAGTCTATCGTTTCATGGTCAGAAAACGCCAAGACGGGAAAGTTACGAGTACATTAAGCCAGTAACGTTACTTTAGCCTCCACATGAGGAGCTTGCTCCATGCTTACTTTGAGGGTGAGTAGTTACACATGTGTCAGAAATAGCTAAGGTAGTATTGAGTGACTAAGAGTTGACTAAGAGTAATATTTTACTATTACTCTTAGTCAACTCTAAGAGTAATATTATACTTTTTTTCTTTTTTTTTTATAGGATCGGGTGACAAACGAGCACACAGTCCACCTGATGATAAGTGGTTACTGTGACCCATAGACATCTACATCTATCTTCAATAAAGACTCAAGATGCAGATGCGTTGTCACCCGTGAGGACTAAGATGGAATGCCTCTTTGCCAGTAAAAAGGGTCTCCGGTTCTCTACACTCACCATACGAAACACAGCAGCATTAAGCTGCTATTTTACGCTGGTTTTCTGTGAGAGGGTGGTCCTTCCCCGGTCGAGCCGACCCATTCGTGCTACAACCATAATATAGCTGCAGCATGGCTCTACCATGTAGAGCCATGCTGCATGCTAACTAAGAGTATATTCTCAAACTAAGAGTAATATTATACGCTAACGTTGTGCCTCTTTCTTAAAATTAGAAGGCGGACATACTAACGTCGTGCCTCTGTCGCGTCTTGCTTAATTTAAGCAAACGTCGTGCCTATGACTTAAGTAGATGTTAAATTACGCTAAATTTGCCTATTATCTAATTAAGTTATAGGCTAACTTAATTAGATATTTTTAACCAACTTCAAAACAGGAACAGGTTCTCAATTCGACTGTTTTTTTTATGTGTGTTATCCCAGAATTTCATTCTATTTATATTTAAGTCGTTTGTACAATTTTTTTTAATTTTATCACTTGTGTTAAGTTATGCGAGCATAGTGTTTAGTTACTCAGACGAACTTAGAGTCATTGTCAAGCACGTCGCCTGTGACCTGCGCGGTGCCTGCATCACCATGCCATTGATGGAAACGATATTCAAAGCTAAAGGGAACCCGAGGACGGTCTCCTGTCAGGAGCAGTCTGTAATTCTAAGAGTATAGATTCGATTAGCTTGAAGCTAGGAAGATCGTGTTGATGAGAGACTGCCCTGTATTACATTGAGATGGATAGTGATGCTGTTGGTTTGCATACTTTGGTGTTATCATGTAATTGGGTCCTGATAGTAAGCAGTGTATGTTACCGAGTAGTGTTCTTTTATTTAAATAATAACAATTTTGAGTATAATTTCTAACATCAGAAGTGGAATCATTTCTTACTATCATTATATAAAAAAACTAGCTGTTCCCCGCAACTTCACTCGCGTGTTAGGGTTTTTATGTTTATGCGCGAAACTCTAATCCTTTTTTAAAAATAAAAGTAGCCTAAATTACTCCTTATGAAATCAGCTACCTGCCAGTGAAAATCCCGTCAAAATCGGTCCAGCCGTTTCGGAGATTAGCCGGAACAAACAGACAGACAGACAAAAATTTAAAAAAGTGTATTTTTGTTATAAGTACCGTTTATACTTTCATATGCATTTAGTAAAACGCTGTAATTTTGACATTACAAACAGACACTTCAATTTTATTTATTTGTATAGATTACGTGTCACATTGTTTGTCCGCGATGGAACTCCTAAACTACTACTGATCTGATTTAAATGAAATATTTCACAACGTGTGCAGTTTGGTCCAACTTGAGAGATCTGATAGTTTTTATCCCGATAAGTGACCCTCAATTTTTTATTGTAAATTAAATGATTTTTTTAGGACACATGGTCGTCGGAAAGGCAGTACAACGTCTGCCTGGTCAGCTATTGTTGTTTGTTTTTTTTTTAAATATTTTGAGCAAGTGTTTGACAAATAGATGGTAAGTCGCGTGACTTTTAACCCCCGACGCATAAAGTAGTGTGTTATAAGTTTGACCGCTATCTCTGTCTGTCTGTCTGTCTGTCTATGGCTCTCAAACGGATAAACCGATTTGGGTGTGGTTTTTTAAAAATAAAATCAGGTTTTCTAGCGGTGGTTCTTAGACATGTTTTATCAAAATCGGTTCAGCCATTTGAAGATTATCAGATCTTTTTGTTTAAGGGTTTTTTTTTTAATTTTTAATTTAATTTCATATCAAAAGCTTACTACTCTTGCTTCTAAAACACCTAGATTGGAATTGGAAAGTAATGTTGTAAAATTATTCAACAATCAGAAGTGAACTACTATAGTCTCATAGTACTATATGATTCTCCTTGCACTTCGAAAATATTATGTACTTTTAACTTTACTTATTCAGAATAGGTATCTTCTTTTTTTTTTGTCACTTCTACCCCTACTCAAACCCTCCTATAAACCTTTTCAGAAATGAGAGGAGCCTGTGCCCAGCAGTGGGACGTGTAAAGGCTGTAGCTTTAACACTTTTGCCTAGCCATAACGGCCTCCGTACTTACCAGAGTTAGACACAGGCGTCTTCTTATTACGGAAAGGGTTTTGGGGCAACGCCAAGTAGCTCGAATACGTGTTGGCGAACTTCACATGTCTTCGAAATATCTTATTTTTGTTTTTCAAACATGCAGGTTTCTTCACAATGTTTAAAATTGCAATTAACAATTTCATTGGTGCTCACGGGGATGGTTGGTCGCGTACTGTGAAATTTACAGCGAGCGCTAACCGTCTAAGCTTCTACGGCTCTTACTCTGGGAATTACCTACTTGAGACAAAAGCCGCGATAGCTCAAAGAACAAGCGCTCCCGTAAAAAAATTTAGGACGTACAATAATAACGTTTGGGTAAGAGAAGATCAATATCAAGATATTTCCAACTCGATTTAATTTATACTTAATTGATGGTAAAACAATACATAGATAATTGTAAACTGTTTTTATTTTTAAATCCTGCTGGTTTTCTGCCTGATTCTTCCAAGAACAGAGGCATTCCATCACAAGGTTAGTGCGTGCATTCCACTCTCGTCCACTTTCCTTGCTCTGCTTGTTTTAAGTACAAATACAGTCCAAAAATCTTTATCAGAGATACTCACGTTACTGGCGCGTCCAGTAGTAATGCATATAAGTCGTTTTCTTCATAAAATGTTCATTTTTAAAAGTTTACAATAAAATTACAAAGTTATAATGCAGATAGTTTAAGGTTATTTTCCTGGTAAATAAAAAATGACTTTCAATAAGTATTATGTAATAATCAATATAGAATAAAAATCATTCTATTTTATTCCATTCTATGGAGTTGTAACAAAATGTTTACTAATTCAAGTGCATTTTATAAGTAGTTGATTATTTATTACTCGTTAACCTCTTAATTCTACTTAGCTGTGATAGTTTTCATTTTAACTTAATTATATATACTATTAAAATGTATAATACTTATCACATTTCCAAAAACATGATTGACACATGACTCTAATGAAAAATACCACTTTAAGGCTAATCATTTCGCAAACCAACCCCTGAATTAAAAAATGTTGTTCCACACCCCCAGTGTTTTTGAAAGACCTATCCAACGATACCCCACATGATGAAATAAACGGGTAAAAAAAATCATCCTCCATTTACTTATTTGGTTAGTGCCAAAAAAATAAAATTTTTAAGATTTTATTTGACATTTTTTTGATTTTATTTTTCTAGGGGTGATTAATATCTATAACTATGCCAAATTACAGACTTGTGGCTCCCAGGGTCTTACAGCAGAACCGCGGACGGACCGACGAGCGGATATATAATATTTTTGAACGCCGCTAGAAGATAAATGTACATAAATGTGTGCGCTACACTATACTTATATGCCGATATCGTATACTTTCAGCTGTGTAGCAAATAAGACAATATCCGATTGGGTTGTCCGCAAAGTAGGAGTTGCGGGAGTAAATCCACTGTTTGACCTGTCTGTGGTTCTGTGACAATTATATTTAGCTTACTTGTCCACTCGGGGGTACTTGTTAATGATGTTAATGGTATTCTTTAAAGTAAAAATAAATATAAACCGGGAACCTGAAAAGATACTAATTAAACAAATATTTTTATTCTTATAATTTATATTTTTATTTCAAATATTTACTCCATTTTCCATATAACATTGAGGATCGGTGACATGGTTCACAAATGTAAGCTGAGTGTTATTCTCCAACTTCTGAATCTCACTTCGGATCATTGACAGAAGGTATAAATTTATTACTGCAAGAAAATGTTATTGTTAATTTTTATGCACATTATCTTAACTAATAAGTTAGAGGAGAATATTTATTGTGGAATTGTGCCGGCTGGTCTATTTGGGATTAAACTAACAATTAGGGCATCCACAACTTTTTCTGCCACCAGGCGCCACGTTGGAGTTAGTGAACATGCGCAATTCCAAGTTAACCTAGGTTATAATTATCATATATAAAAATTTACTTTTGTTCGTTCGTATTTTACGCGCTGCCATACCGTTCATTAGATTGCACTAAAATTTTGTCAATCTATTGCTTGCACTTGCGCGGACGTTACAGGCATAGTACAATTAAATTACAGTAGGTGGCGCGCGTGTCGTACCGACAAATTTATTTGAAAGTAATATATCACTCAACTTCAATAAATGTATTATCATTCCTAATTAAACAATACAAGTCTTCCAAATTTGAAACGATATTTCCACAATTAGTTTTTCTGCGGCTGCAACGCGCCAGGTACCAACTAGTTATTAATAATTTAGTGAGGTGGTGAGAGTTCAACTCATAAGTGGATTTATATTCAGACAAAATACTATTGTTGGTCTTACATACTTTGTAGTTCATCGACTCAATTGATCAGTTGAACTGGTGCGACGAGCCTATTTTTTACTTTTACCAGTGAACATTGACTTTTAGCTCTTATGCCATGCTAATGTATAAGACGTCACTTTCCATTGAAATACCATGAAATCTTTTTTTATTCCATAGAATAAGGGTGAAAACCGAACACATAATCTACCTGATGGTAAGTGCTTGATGTGGCCCATAGACATCTACATCTATCCTCGTTTGCGAATAAAATGCAGATGCGTTGTCAGCCGTGAGTACTAAGATGGAATGCCTGTTTTTTTAGTAAAAAAGGGTCTCCGGTTCTCTACACTCACCAAACTAAGCACAGCATTATTAATGATAGATTGCCCGATGCCACGTTCTGCTGAAAGCGCTACTGGAAGGACAAGTTTCTAGGTTCGAACGTTCTGCCAGAAGAGGCTGTGAGTTCTGCTGGCAGTACGAGATTTGTATGAACATTTTCTGGTCCTTCCAGCAGTACGGTGACCTTGACCTTGAATGGGTGCGTCATGTACTCTTACCAGAGGTTCTCAACATTTGGTCAGTGTTTTAAAAATAAGATTCAAGATGTTTTTCGTAGTTTTTATTTATTTAAGTTTAAAATTTTATAATGAAATAGTATCATCTATACTATAACTTTTCAATAATATAAGAGACTATAGGAAATTTTAAGTTTGGAGTTAGCGTACGATAGTAACTAATCAATCAGTCTTCTGCGACGCAAAATGAGACAAATCACAATCATAAAAATAAAAATATATCTTATTATTAATCTGGAATGCCATCCTGGATATGATTGTTATTGTTTTCGCTATTTATAAACTCAATATCTAATGATTTCAGTTGCTCATACCATCTGTATGCTGATGATCTTCAGCTACATGTACAATGCAGTATCAATGATATAAATAATGGAATCAGGAAATTAAACACGAACTTAAAGGCCATCCGTGGCTGGTCTAATAAATTTGGTGTTTCGGTGAATCCGTCAAAATGTAAAATAATGGTCGTTGGTAGCTCCAGAATGCAGAATATGATTGACTATGGAAACCTTGAACCAGTTTTGAACAATGGAATTTCAATTACATTTTCTGATTCCATAGTTAATTTGGGTTTGCACATAGATCACTCTATGAACTGGCGAGTACAGATCTCGGAAATTAGTCGTAAAGTTGTTGCCACTCTACGTTCCCTTTACCGGTTTAAACATTTCTTACCCTTTAAAACCAAGCTTTTGCTGGTTAATTCCCTTATACTTCGCAAATACAGACAACAATACAGACCTATCGCAAAATCTTCTTAACAAGTTGGAGCGCCTTCTCAACAACTGTATAAGATTTATCTTCAACTTACGAAAATACGACCACATCACTGCTTTTCGTTATAAAAAATATTCCAAGCTAAAAAATTGCGAGCAACGCCTCTGACGAATAGAAAGCCATTTAGGCTTTCTATTCGTCAGAGGCGTTGCTCCAGAATCTTACTAACCTTTTTTTCTATATTAAATGATCCGACGTCTCCTTCTTATCTTAAAGATAACTTCCACTTTCGGTATTCAACTCTTGAGCGTGAACCTCATTCCACTAATAATACGGCCCGCAGCTGCCCCTGCAAGGTTCAATATCCCGGTGCCCATGAGCGTAAGATTCAACGGGCAGCCGCGGGTTCGAGCCCGAATGGCTATATGGAAAATGTTCTATCCTACTACACTTTAATGGGGAGGCTAGTCAAATAAAGAGTACTTACCTGTATCTGAGGCGACGACTGTCTCAAGGTTCGGTCAGGACGGAGGTGTGTATGTGCATGTGTGGTGGTGTTTTTTGTGGTGTGGATGTGATTGACCTGACTGCACCGTTGAAGTCGGCAGCTGCCCGGACTCCGGCATCGCTCCAAATCATGGTAATCTCCAGCGGCGTCACCCACGGTCAATTTCTTTCTTCTTCACTATGTCAGTGTATTAACTTTATCGTACAATTAACTAACTTCAAGACGCAACTAACTCCCGTTTATTATAAAGCGTAACACACAACACGAATACCTAATGTTCAGATCAAAGGTCACTTCCGTTTCGCGTGGCAACAATTATTTCTAGAACCTAACACGACCTTCTCTAGTGTCACAAAGTTCAGCGTTCAACCGACAACGAAAAATGTTTCCGAACTATATCAAATGCCGCACGAGCAAATTAATATTGTCAAATGCACTTATATACGCTATCAAATTAGAATAATAAAATTCGCGGTAAATTAGGCACGCACAGCACACAAATTCAGACGTTTATCGCAATCAATTTTAACTTCCTAACAATTTGTCAACCCGGCGTCTAATTCTAGACTACGATTCCTCGTCTTTGCACAATTTGCTAACAAAACCGACTCCAAAAAAAGTAGATTATCCCGAGCGATTTCACGACGTGCGATCGACCGCACTGCATTCAAACAACTAACTAACTGCGCTCGCGCCCTCTGCCAAAAGCCACACCGCTCGCCCGAACGTCAAAACCGGTATGGCACCGAGCCGAGCACCCTTCGGCGTCCAATCTTGAAACCAACGTTTGGGCGTGAACAACTAACGTCCTTAAGATTCATATGCCTCAGCATAATACTGGTTTATTTAATTCCTCATTTACAGTTCAGGCAATACTTCTCTGGAACGCCCTGCCCGTTGATATAAGAAAAGCATAAGCACGCGTTTAAGAGACAGGTCCGACAACATTATCTTAAGGAAAACTCCATTTGACCGTCGATTTCTATTATTATTTTTAGTTATTTTATATATTATATATGAAATATTTATTATATTATTTATTATATATATTATGATTTGATATTTTTTATAATTTATATTATTTTTATATATTATTGGAACGTATGCGATTATATTTTATGTTTATATACAATATACGTCTAGTAATTTTTACATTTTTGACACCTACCAACTTTTACTTGTTTAATTATCTCAGGGTTGACTGGTAGAGAATGCCATATAGCATTAAGTCCGCCCATTATAATCCTTTTCATTGAAACCACAATTCAGTAGCGAAGTAACGCGCACAAATACTAAAAATCTAGACCATAAACCCAAAAAACTGGTCGCGCGAAATATATGCAGCAGTAACCAAAATACGCTAATTGACCGCACCGCTGCTCTCAAGCTACTGGTTTTCGCCCACGAGCGCCAAACGCTAGGAAGCTGCATACCAATGCCCCCTCCCCGCGACGCACGTGACACCTAACACCATCGGGCGATTCGCTAAGTTGAAGGCGATTGGATGCCATCTCAAATGACCATATTTGGCCTAAACAATATTAATAAGGAACTATGATCGAATAAAGTTGCGGCCTTCCGGATGGACTACAAGTCTTGTTAGCGGGACTCCGGGCGATCTATCATTAAGCTGCTGTTTTTCGCTGATATTTTGTGAAAGCGTGGTCCTTCCCCAGTCCAGCCGACCCGTTCGTGCTACAACTGTGCTATTGGTATAGCTGTAGCATGGCTCTAATACGTATAATATTAATTAATACTTACGAAGTACACCTGCACCGAATGTTGCAGCGTCTATAACATCTTGTAAATAATAAAACTTTCTGATATAAAAATACCAAAAAATGTTAACTCCAATAACCAAAAGAAACAGAAGGAATATTATGACTAAACTGGCAAGCCCGTACTTATAGTAAACTCTTAAAAGTGTAGGATTTTTCTGAAAAAAAAAAATGTTACTAAATGCAATTATCACAATAACTTATAATACCACGTATGATAACGAATAAAATAAATAAAAAAAAAACTGATTGATAACCGGCATAACAAGCACGACAACTAAAGCAAATATCTCTTCTATAGGTAACGTAAAATATGGTGGAGGCCTATGTTCAGCTGTAGACTAATGATAGTATGTAATGATAATAATGATGATGATGAAATCCGAGGTAAAATAAAAGCTAATTAATACTGGGCTTTATGGACTATTCAAAAAGAAATGAAGCGAGAAAGATCCCTTGATCTGCTTCTATGCTCATAGACCTATTTAGCGGGATTCGAACCCGCATCTCCATAGTGCCCCGGCCAAATGACCGATTGCGCTACCGAGCCGTCATGTTAAGTAATATGTTATCGAAATTGTGCTGCATTCCATTCTAGTCCTCTTAAGTAGCAACGCATCTGCGTCTTGATTTTTAATCGATGATTGCAGGTGCTAATCAAGGATAAATGTAGATGTCTATGGGCGACAGCAGCCAATTACCATCAGGTGGACTGTGAGCTCGTTTATTTATCACGCTTACTAGCTTTTTACCCGCGGCTTCGCTCGCGTGCGCTTAAATTTGAGAACGTCATTAAATGCTGTTCCTGCCAAATTTAGAAAAATTCGAGTACTTTTAGAGTCACCTCAGTGTCTGTGTCTCTGTCTGTCAAAGTTTTTTTTTCCATTCTAATACTATTAGACGTAGATGATTGGTAACATGCTACAGAAACACGTGAATATATATGTCTAGAAACACCTACTATATTTATATCGGGCGTGTCTTCTGATGTATCCATAAGAAAGGTAAATAGTCTTTAAATCAAAAGGTGTTATTATTATTTACATTTTACTCTTGACTAGTTCTTTCTATTAGTTAAAGTTAATTTAGTTTTAACAAAGTAATATAATGTTTATTTGAGACATTTTATTCACATCTTTGGTCCTATTAAATTTGATTGGCACCATAAAAGAGATGTAGATATTTTATTTTTACTTCGAGTAGACGTAGAAAATTTCATAAATACAGTTTTATAATAATGAATACTCCACATGAATTAAAACTAATGTTACGGGTTTTTTTTACGCATCTTGGATGAAAGTTCCGAGTAAAAGAACATATTGTTAATGTGAAGCACCGAAGCTCCAGGAAGTCTAAAGTATGTCAACATGCTTAGTGTCGTCCCAACCATTATATCGGATCTGATAGACGCCCATTACACGGTAGGTTTTGCTGTCAGTTTTACAACAATCACGGTTGTGATTGACGAATAACCTATCATGTAATGTAGTGATTGACGGTTGCATGAAATTGATTGACAAATATCTGGATATTTTGATTTTTACGTCAATCAACTATTCAGTCACGAATTTTGATTGAACGTGTAATGGCATTTCATCAATCACGCGTCAGTCAACGCTCAGATAGCAATGGAGGCGGACGCAGAATATATTAAAGAGGCTGCTTCTACGCGCTCGCGCAACCCGGCGGCACTCCCACCAAATGTGTTTCAGCCAGAAAAAGATTTTATTTTAAATTTTCAGTCTCTGCCCGAGTTGTGGGACACGAAAAACCCCGGGTAGGTAGGTAGGCATCCAAGCCCCTAATACCAGCCACGCCCCTAATTTCAGCCTTTCAGTCTTTTTACTTCGTAAATAAGATTTCTAGTAGTTTTAACTACAAATATGGTCGGCTAAAAATTCTTCGTAATTAGAGGAAAGTATATTTCAAATATTACCTCACAGTTTTAAACCTAACAGTGTTAAATTAAAAATCAAAACATAAGCATATTTTACATTAGCTCATCTTTAGGCATTTTGATTTGTATGAATGTAGTAGAAGACATAATAATGCAGCTATTTTTGTTTAAATTTATAAGTTTTTTATTTTCTTTTAGTGGAAATTAATGGGGCTGTAATTAGATATACGAAATTTATGGAGTGCATAATGTCAGTCGCCCGATTGTTATTTTGTTTGACGTAAATTATAAGAAGTACCTTATTTCAACCACGTAATATAAATCAAGGCTGTCATAACCTGGAATAAATACCATTAATTTGAACATAACTTATTTTATAGTTAAGTAAGTTATGATCAATTCGTCTATATTTTAAAATTGGTGTTTGATTTAAAAGTTTAACGTACTTGCTTTTCAGACATTTGGTATAATATGTTAAGAACACCATACAATATTTAATTATTTTTTGAGAAAGACAAAAACAAACAATAAATGTAATTAACTACAACTTAGTAATACTAATTTTACTATAAGTTAAGAACATAAATGAAAAAGTCGTAACAAGGAAAGTGGTTCAGGACCATGCTTTGCGGCAGTCTATGGAGGATGATGTTCTGTAGTCGACTTGTGAAGGGCTGAAATGATGATAAAGATTCAAAAACTTGGATGGTTAAATTATAAGAAATCGGTGTACTATAATACATTATTTTTATTATAATATTGTTTTAATTAATTGTTTAGTGTTAAAAGATAAAATGTAACTGCTTAAAGGTAAACCACAGTAAGGTAAGAAGTAAAACATTAAAATAAAATAATTGTTGTCGTCTATCTTAATACATATTCCATATTTGTGACATGCATGATTTAAAATTAAAAGTTGTTATGAATTTATTTCAGTGCCCCTAAAATATACCTACAATAGGTACCTACCAAAAACTCAAAAGGCATAGCCCTATGCTATGCTGGCATTAGGTACACAAAAGGAAATTGAAATTGACACTAAAAGGCTGGTAATAGGGGCATTCACCCTATACGAATAAATGTAAAAGTTAATCTTATTTTTCGTCCATAAATGCGTTTCAAATAAAGCCGCGTATCAATTATGCACTCCAAGAGGTCGAACATTGGCGCGCGTTAAATTAAAATCGGTAAAATGATATTAAATATTACAATTTTCCTATTCGTTTTTATTCTTTCTCTTTTCAAGGTATAAAATTATAATTAAATAGTGAATCGAAACTAACTTAGTTTATAGGTACGTCCTTTCCCTCCAAAAATTTAGGTTTGACTGACATCAGTCAGCATGAGCGTGTAATGTCGAAATTATTCTATCATACAAACGTCTATCATGATTGATTGAACTGATTGACGCTTGCCTAGGCGTGTAATGGGCGTCATAGACAACAAATCCTTGCAATAGATCACCGAATCCTACCAATAATGATTCGCGAGGCTATTGAAATTAAAAATATCCTAATTTTAATAGGGAAGATGGCTGAGTGCTACCATCTGCTAAGGACCCCATAATTAATAAAATTAAATTCAAACTACTACTGCATTTATTCTATTCTATTTTAACTATCACGAGGTCGTCAAACACCTCAGTTGTCCCGCCCTTCACGTGACCATGGGTGCTGTAAAGTGCCCAAAACAGCGGGAATTTAAAAAGTTAAAACTAAACGTGTTAAAATCCTTAAAATTAGTTTTATTCCTTATAAATTTTATTCACATTGAATGTGAGGAGCACTACACTCATAAACGGGAGTAGAAAAATGTTCGCCCTGTTGTGGCGATGAAAGAAAATCCACCACGTCATATCGTCCCGTCGTAAGAGGCGACATAGGAAAACAAACTGGAGATGGGATGGGCTGTATCATATTCTTAACAACAGATCAAAATAATAATAGCTGCGGTTGCCAACCCGCCTACCAAGCGTGGCAACTATAGCAAGTATCTAGCTTCTTTAAAATTTTTGGGGGAGGCCTATGTTCATTTCAGTGGGATTTTGATAGGCTGACGATAATGAGTTCTACTCATCTTTGCAAGATTTAATATTTACTGAGTAACATACCCGAAAACACGAATGAAATAAAAACTGCATATATTGCCCCATGAAAAGTAAAAAGTAGCAGCTTACATATACGTGTTACTACTGGGCACAGGCCGCAGAGTTTTTGGCCAAAAAAGTGTTCGCTGCGCTGATGCCAACCCGGGATGAATGTAATGTTAATGATTCAATTATTTACATCATATATTCAGTAACATTGTATTATTTCATTTTATCAATGACTTGCTATTTTAGTTTATTCAGAAGTAAGTTGGTGGCGCTAATATTAGATGAAATAATGAAAGCCAAAACTATACCATCTAGTAATATCAGCAACAGAACCGAACATTTATTTATTATGTCAATAAGGGATAAAATGATGTCAATTCTCTTAAAAGTTCTGTTTCTGTTAAAAAAAATAGGCTATCAGCGCCGCTAGCGGTGAAAAACGATTTAATGATATCGTCTTTTGACCATATTATGAAATAGCAACATTGTTTTTAGTTATTAATATCTTCAAACGATTTCTATTCATTGATTTGGTCAAGCTATATCATGACATAGTCAACATATAGTATTAAATATCACGAAATGATCACACCATTTCACGAAATGATAGACTACTTTACGATATATGATCAATTCTACGATCTGGCCACGACATACATAAAAATACTAACTATAATGATAATGAAAATTTTGCAACAATTGCAGACAGACCAGTTTTAATCACTTTACATATTAGTAATTGAAATAAATACCTTATCAATTTTCATATTTTTGATAGACGTCACTGTTATCTATTGAAATTATTATACTTTTAAAATAAAATAAAAAAAAATACTAAAAAAACTAAACGTTAGAATTTTTTAATAATTTTAAAAACCTAATCATTTACTCATATAAATGTAAGTTATTTATATTATTTCATTAATACTGTAACTGAAGGCAAAATATACTACTTTTTCCATTTGACGATAGATGGCGCTGTTTTAAAATTATTTTACCAAGGTTATAACTACATATATTTTAAACTTTATTTTCTGTTATATATATAACTAAGATATAATAGAAAATTAACATCTAAAGGAAATAAAACACTTAACCTTCCCTTTTTGAAGGTCCGTAATCGGATAAAAAGTAGCCTATAAGTTGCATTGGGTTGCTGATTAGCAACACACAAAACTTCATGTAAATCGGTTCAGTAGTTTTGCGTGAATCCGGAATACACAGACAGACAGACAGACGGACAGACGGACAGACAGACAGACAGACAGACGGACAGACAGACAAAAATTCTAAAAACCACTAATTTGGCTTCAGAATCCTATATTTAGTACCCTGGACTTGTTTTTTCAAGAATATATTAAAATTACAGACACGACTTTTCTACAGATTTATTATATGTATAGATTCTATATTAAAAAACTCCGTCTTACCTATTTCTGCCATCAAGCAGTAGTGCGTACCTAATAGTAAGTGAATGCTGTGACTCACAGACATCTACATTCATCCTCGCTTAAGAATCGAAATGCAAATGCGTTGTCATCTCTTAGGATCAAGATGAAATGCGTCGTTTCCAGTAAAAAGGGTGTTCGGTTCTCTACATTCACCATATTTTTTTTTATATAGGATAAGGGTGAGAAACGACCACACAGTCCACCTGATGGTAAGTGGCTGCTGTGACCCATAGACATCTACATCTATCTTCGATTACGAATCAAAATGCAGATGCGTTTTCACCCGTGAGGACTAAGATGGAATGCCTCGTTACCAGTAAAAAGGGTTTTCGGTTCTCTACACTCACCATACGAAACACAGCAGCGTCAAGCTGCTATTTTACTCTGGTATTCTGTGAGAGCGTGGTCCTTCCCCGGTCGAGCCGACCCATTCGTGCTACAGCCATAATATAGCTGCAGCATGGCTCTACCACGTGAAATAAACCACGTATAATCAACCTGTTACCATACCATATGAAATACAGCAGCATTAAACTATTATTTCATGTTGGTATTCAGTCGAACCGACCAATTCGGGCCACAACCATAATATAGCTACAGCGTGGCTCTACCACGTGAAATAAACCACGTATAATCAACCTGTTACCTACTCCTACGGATTTCTAGTCAGGAAAGAAGTCCTATCACCTACACTTAGTGAGTTTAAGTTAAAAGCATTAAAGTCCATAGTTACCTTATGAGCCCCGACTATAAACACAAATGTTATTACAATGTCAATCGTAAGAGCCGTAACAAACAATGATAAAGTTACGAGCTCAGTTTTTACATCTTGCGGGCTGCGGCGAGCCAAATATACCATTTTCACACTAAATACGACTCCAAGGAACAGGCACCAAAACTGAAATAAAAAAGAAATAATCTGATATAGAGAGATAATGGGACCTAACCTAAATCTTAATAAAATCTTTAGAAAATAAAAAATAATTTGAATATAAATCACCTTTAGATATAATTACGAAAATTTCATATAAAATAATGTGTTAACCATTCTGTTATTAGTGTGTAGTTATTAAGAAAAAACCGAGTCTAGTAATGTTAATTTGTTTAATATGCATGTTCACTGGTTTTACACGATCGAACTGTTTCATGACTCTTTTTTTTATTAATTTTTCATGGCTCTTTTTTAATTAAATACGATATACCTCAGGGGTAACCCCACATGTACAAATATGGAAAATAAAGAACAAAAAACCAAAACCGCCGGCAACGGCAACGTAGAGGAGAGGAGGAACGATGCGGGGACAGAGTCCGACGCCGCATCGAGCAGCGTGGGAGGCTCAGAGAGCTCCCGACGCGTGGAGCCTGGGACCGCGGAGACCAGTAAGTTCTTCCGCAAGCGGTCCAGGCGGGATGGCGACCAGGGGTCGTCAGCCGGAGAAGAGGAGACTTCGGCCCGGAAAATCCCCACCAACAGGCGGGGCGGGCTGAGAGGCAAGGGGAGGGGGCCCTCTGACAATCAGAGGGCCGAACAAGCGGCAAAGCATGCCGAGGAGGGGCGCCACCCGGGCGATACGGCTCGGGTATCAGGCGAAGAGACGGATGCGACTGGCGGCTCCGAGGTGGAGCGTAAGGCCAGATACGTAAAGGAGGTGGAGGCCGCGATCAAGGTCGTGGCCCACAAGCAAAAGGCCTCCTCAAAGTTAAAGGCCATTCCCGCGGCCTCCGCCTCCATCATGGCGGCTGCGGAGGCCAACTTTGTTGGGGCCGAGCTTAATGTAAACGAGGTAGCGGAGCTGCGGGCGGAAGTGGCCCGCCTGACGTCCGCCATGGAGACTCTCCAGAAGGAGAACGAGAAGCTCCGCGCAGACCTGGCCAGTCTACGTGAGCCTGCCTCTCGCGCGGCGCCCCAGACGCAGCGCCCAAGCCAGCCCGTGCCGGTGGAGAACCAGGTTCTGAACCTGGTCCGGCAGGAGCTGGCTGCCTTCCAGCACCGGTTCTTCGTGCTGGAGGGCATCGTCCTGCGCCCCCCCCTAGGGGCAAACAAGACGGCGGCGAGGCCGGCAACGGTCTCGTACGCGGCGGCCACAGCTGCCGCATCCAGGCCGGGGCCGTCCAGCCAGCCTTCGGGCGGGGCTGCAGTTGCCCCTCCTCCCCCTGAAAAGCCGGCTCCGGCAAAACCGGTACCGGCTGAACCGGCTCCGGCTAAGCCGGCAACGGGAAAGAGAGGCAAGGCGAAGACAAAAAAGGGCAAAGCGGCAGCACAGGTGGTGGCTGCGCCAGCCCCAGTGCCTGCGGCAAATGTGCCAGCGCCAGCGGCAAGCCAGCTGCCGCCGCCGCCACCGCCCCCGCAGCTCCCTACACCTCCCACGGCTGAAGCCGGTTGGCAGGTGGTCGGGGACAAAAATAAGGGGAAGAAGGCAGCCAAAAAGGCCAAAGAGCAGGAGCGGCAGCGCCAGTACAGGGCGCGCAAGATGGCGGCTAGGCTCCGCGCCCCGAAGACCGCAGCTGTAGTGATTACACTACAGCCGGACGCGGAAAAGAAGGGCGTTACCTACCGCGATCTGCTCGCGAAGGCGAAAGAGGCGGTGGATCTCGGGGAGCTCGGGATCACCGGGGGCCTCCGGCTCAAAGTCACCCAGACGGGGGCCCGTATGCTGGAGATCCCCGGGGAATCCAGTGGCGCGACCGCGGACGCTCTGGCTGCGAAGCTCAGAGCGTCCCTGGACGCGGACGAGGCCCGAGTGTCCAGGCCCGAGTGTCCAGGCCCGTCAGATGCGCAGACCTGCGCATCATGGGTCTGGACGACTCGGTATCGGAGAAGGAGTTAGTGGCCGCCGTCGCCAGGTCCGGGGGGTGCACTACTGACCAGGTCAGGTCAGGCGCCATACGCCCGGACCAACAGGGTATGCATGCCGCCACGGTGTGCTGCCCTGTTACGGCGGCCAAAACCATAGTGGAGGGCCGAAGGCTTCTGGTGGGCTGGGTCTCAGCGCAGGTTAAGCTGCTGGAGCCCTGACCTCTGAGGTACTACCGCTGTCTCGTGGGGCACCACGTATCTGTGAAATGCGCCTCGGAGGTTGACCGCAGTGGCCTTTGCTTCCGCTGCTGTCAGCCCGGACACATATCGGCGACCTGCTGCGCCACGCCGCACTGTGATGCATGTGCGGCGACCGGCAAGCCAGCCGATCACCGGGCCGGAAGCAAGGCCTGCGTGCCACCCGCCAAGGCCAAGGCCGCGGGTAGGGGAGGGCCCTCCGCCGCCACCGCCTCTGTGGCCACCGCCGCAGTCGCGACTGCCGCCGCCGCCGCCGCCGCTGTCACTGTCGCTGCCGCCGCCGCCGCGACACCGACGCCCGCAGAGAGGCGCCCCGTGGAGGAAGCTGAAATGGAATGCCTATAACGGCCCCATTAAGCTTCCTCCAGGCGAATATCAACCACTGCGCCTGCGCTCAGGATCTGTTGCTCCAGAGCATGGCGCAGTGGTCGATCAACATTGCTGTGGTCGCTGAGCCGTATTTTGTCTGGCCTAGGGAGGACTGGGTGGCGGACCTTAACGGCTCAGTGGCCATCATTTCTTCAGCCGCCGCCGGTACCCCGACCCTTGAAGGTGTCAGGAGGGGTCAGGGGTGCGTAGCAGCACGGTTCGGGGAGTTCGTCGTTGTGGGGGTGTACTTCTCCCCGAACCGATCTCTCGCCGAGTTTCACAACTCTCTTGCAGAGCTGAGAGCAGTCGTCGTCGGAAGTAATCCCCTCCCCGTACTTGTCCTCGGGGACTTCAATGCCAAGAACTTGGCTTGGGGTTCTCGTCGTACAGATGTGCGGGGTAGGATGGTGGAAGACTGGGCTCTGGAGACAGGCCTGGTCGTCCTAAATCGGGGTTCTGTCCCCACGTGTGTGCGGATGCGGGGCGAGTCGGTGGTGGACATTTCGTTCGCTAGCCCCACTCTGTCGCCGCGTGCCATTGACTGGCGTGTCATGGAGGGGGTGGAGACCTACTCCGACCACCGGTACATCCGGTTTGACGTCTCCACCCAGCCCTCGAGCGCGCCAGTCCAACAGGCCCCGAGTGGTACGCGTTGGGCGCTGAAGCAGCTGGACCGGGAGCTCCTCCTGGAAGCCTCGATCGTGCAGGCCTGGGTGTCATCACCGGACAGGCCTGCCGACGTCAATGATGAGGCAGGGTGGTTCCAGGAGGCCATGTCCGAGATATGTGACGTGGCAATGCCCCGCGTCCGGCCAGGAAGCGCCCGGCGTCAGGTGTATTGGTGGTCGCGTGAGCTGACGTCTCTGCGCGAGGCGTGTGTTGCCGCGCGGCACCTGTACGCCAGGCATCGCAGGCTCCGCATTCGTCCACCGAATGCGGCAGCCATTGAGGCGGAGCTGTACGAGGGATACAGAGCGGCAAAGACCGCCCTCCGGGAGGCTGTCCTGCGGGCCCGGGATCGGGCCCGTGAGGAGATGCTGGAGACTCTCGATAGAGATCCGTGGGGGCGCCCTTACAAGATCGTGCGGATAAACTCCGCACCTGGGCCCCCCCGCTGACGCAGAGTCTCCGGCCTCAGCTCGTGGAGGATGTGGTGAGCGCTCTGTTCCCTGCGCGCGGGGAACATCCGCCCCCGCCTATGGCTCCGCCACCTGCGGTGCCGGAAGCGGACCACCACGACGACGACGACGACATCCCGGAAGGGACCGGGGTAGACCTGAGAGTGGCGGTACGTAGGCTCAAGGCCAGGAATACCGCCCCAGGACCCGATGGCTTGCCTGGCAAAGCCTGGGTCCTGGCCTCGGAGGCTCTCGGGCCCCGACTGGAGGGGCTCCTAAGCGCATGCTTGGAGAGAGGCCAATTCCCGCTTCGTTGGAAGACGGGGAAGCTGGTCCTCATTCGGAAGCCGGGGCGCCCTGCGGACTCTCCGTCCGCATACCGGCCCGTGGTGCTGCTCGACGAGGTGGGCAAGCTCTTTGAAAGAGTAATTGCAAACCGCCTCGCCGAGCACCTTGCGGGGACGGGGCCGGATCTTGCGGAACACCAGTTTGGTTTCCGCAAGAGGCGCTCTACGGTGGACGCCATCATGCGCGTGAGAGCCCTCACGACGGGGGATGCAGTGGCCAGGGGGGGGGTTGTCTTGGCGGTGTCTCTCGACATCGCCAACGCCTTCAACTCCATGCCCTGGAGCTGCATTAGGGAGGCACTCCGGTATCACCGGGTGCCGACCTATCTCCGTCGTATAGTCGGGGACTATCTGACGGACAGGGCCGTCATCTACCCCGGTCGAAACGGAGAGTGGAACCGGCGAGAGATGTCGTGCGGTGTCCCACAGGGTTCGGTTCTGGGGCCGCCCCTGTGGAACATCGGTTACGACTGGGTGCTGCGCGCCGACCTCCCTACCGGCGTCAGCGTAGTTTGCTACGCTGACGACACGCTGGTACTGGCACAAGGGGGGTCGTACGAGGCGGCGGCGGAAACTATGACACGCGGGGTTGCGATAGTCGTTGAGAGGATCCGGCAACTGGGTCTCGAGGTGGCTCTGCACAAGTCCGAGGCCATGCACTTCCATGGTCCTCGGAACAGGCCACCACCGGGATCCTCAGTGATGGTAGGAGGGGTATCCATCGGCGTCGAGTCGACGTTGAAGTACCTAGGACTCGTCCTCGACGGCCGATGGAACTTCGTTGAGCACTTCCGACGTTTGGCTCCCAAACTGGAACGGACCGGGGCTGCCTTCAGGCGGCTCCTGCCGAACCTGGGGGGGCCAAACGCCTCCTGCCGGAGGCTCTACGCGGGGATCGTGAGGTCCATGGCCCTTTACGGGGCCCCGGTGTGGGCGCGTGGTTTGGCGCGGCTTGCCGTCCACCACCTAAACGCGCCCCAAAGGGTGGTTGCCGTAAAGATGGTTCGCGGCTACCGCACGATCTCCCGCGAGGCGGCGAGCCTCCTTGCCGGATTGCCGCCATGGGATCTGGAGGCGATAGTCCTCGCGCGCCTGCACGAATGGCGCGCGGCAGCACTATGCCGGGGGGAAACCCCGCTGCCGCGGCAAGTTGTCGCGCAGCGGACAGACTTCCGGCATGATCTCATGGCGACATGGAGAGAGCGACTGTCGCAACCCCGTGCTGGGCACGCCACTATAGCGGCGATAAGACCCCTCTTTGAGGAGTGGCTTGAGAGACGCCACGGCGTCCTCACCTTCCGCCTGACGCAGGTCCTCACCGGACACGGTGTGTTCGGGAGGTTCCTGCACCGAATCGGGCGGGAGGAAACGCCCGGGTGCTCCCACTGCGAGGATCGACCGGAGGACACGGTGGAGCACACCGTGGAGGTGTGCTCTGCTTGGGCGGAGCACCGCCGTGTCCTCGTAGCGGCGATAGGCGGCGGCGACCTCTCGCGTCCGGCTCTGGTCGAAGCCATGGTCCGGAGCGAGACGGAATGGGATGCCGTCACCACCTTCTGCGAAGCAGTGATGCTAGCGAAGGAGGTGGCGGAGCGGGAGAAGGAAAGAGCAACAGCTTTCCTTCCCGGCCGCCGCGGGAGACGCCCCGGGCGTCGGGGGCTACGTCGTGGCCCCCGACCACCGTAGGCGCGGGCCTGTGGACGGCGAGCAATGGGTAGCTCGCCGTCCGTCCGTCTAACGACGACAGGCCGTGTCGACGGCGCGTTTTGTTCCACGCGCGCCTCAAAGAGCTGTCAGCAGCGTGAAGGGGCCCGCAAAGGCCGACGCCTGCCGGGGCTGCGGGCTGTTCGAAAGAGATACCGCGGCTCCGGAACGTAAGGGCACTGAAGGAACACGGATGGTTTTTAGTCAGTAAAAGTCTGACACTCCCTTCCGCTCCACCCACAGCGAAAGGCGTCATTAGATGATTTTCCATCCGCAAAAAAAAAAAAAAAAAAGGGGTAACCCCACATAATTTAAAAAATCATACCTTACGGTGCGTACATATTATATAACATAACATGTTTCAGTAATGTGGAGACTGAATGTTATTATAAAACGTTGCTGTTATATAACGTGACACAAATGTTATATAACTCGAGAGTATTTTTCTTTAGTCAACAAACTATGTTTGTTTGGGACGAACCCAGTATCTATGTTTTTTTTTCTTTTGTTATTTAAAAGTAAAAAAGTTGCTGCAGCAGCTAGTTAAACTTCTTCTCGTGTCGACATTGTGAAACGCACTGCAGAACGACAAACCGCAATGTCATATAACATTGTTATATGGCATTGTTATTCTAATGTGTACAGTATTGTTATATGTTCAATGTTGGAAAACAATGTAACGTAGTGTGGAAATGTTATAAAACAAAAGTTATACAACATGTTACTTAATCTGTACGCACCCTAAGGATGGGAAAATTGAGTATGAAATTTTAATGTAACTCTTTACATGACATTTAGTTGTTACCTTAAACTCGTGATATTACTAAGTCCATTCAAAAAGTTAATTAACTATACTTTAATAAAAAGTAAAACCGACTTCAAGAACAAAAAGGAATAAAATAATTTTCACATAATAGATTCTGGGGTCGGGATTTTAATCCCTCTATTCACTATATATTAGCACCGACTTATAAAAAAAAACATTAAGTAGGTTTTACTTTAATTACAGTTTAATTATTGTTAATTAGTATCAAAGAGAAATGTACTTTTGCTGTCCTCATTTTAATCGTTGGTCAATATAGTTGTAGTTATTACTTGAATTAAATATTAATTACGAGTATCTCTATACCTGTCTCTTTCTATTGCCATTTAGTGAAAAGAGAGAAAGCCATGTAACCATTAATTAAATTGACGTCCATTTTCACGAGAAAGGCCATTAATGAGGCACACATTTTGTACTGAATACCAAACACTATTAGATTTTAAAAGTAAACACTCAAACTCACCATTTTAATGTACGCCCAGACAAGCAGTCCGTACCTGAGAGGTACACAAAAGCAGCATCTTTTAATTTGTGGTAATTCTAAATACATTACGAAAAAAAACTCAAAATTAGTTTTTAAAAGCGATGAACCCAATAAGAGTAATCAAATTAATCCGTTTCGAGCGAACACTGGTAGACTACTGTCACATTGATAAGCCGTTCAATATATATCATACTAATGTTATGTTTTGTTTGTAAACAACTTGCTTGAAATGGTCATAGGTTGGAATAGATAAGTTCATACTACGCTGAACGATATGATGGAAAATACTATGTATTTTTAATTTTGTAGGTTGTAAACAATTACCGCTAATGATGGAAAACCCAACCCAATAACGTTGTGTTTAACCCAACCCAACAGACTTGAATGGTATGCAATGTTATCTCACCACTCTGCTTTCGCCGTGTTTTAATATAGGGACTGTTGATTCAATCATTAAGATAATTATTTGCTCTAATATGTCACTTCATACACTTGGATCTACAATCTTCCTCCACAGGTAATGCGCGATACTATCAATACCATCTAGATGATCGACGGTTTGCCACTGTGTGACTAACCTGAAGTTTTCTTCCTCACACAACTTCCAACGACACGACTTAGGGACCTTTAAAAAAATTACAAAACCTTCGCCCATAAACAACCTTTTTCAAAAGGTTATTCATGGACAGCGGCAGTCACTTACCATCAGGTGACCAGCGTGCTTCATTACATTCATTCATCATCATGAATGTAATGAAGCTTGTTTACTCTTATATAAAAAAGTTGGATCAATGGCTATGTTTATCTTTTTTTCAATCCACCCGTGGATTAAGGATAATTTATTAATTGATTATAGCCATCAAGGCCAAACTATAGGCCTCCCCCATAGATAGCCTCATAGGGGGATATTTATCATAATTACCACGCTTGGAAAGCGGGTTGGCAACCGAAATTTATTTTTTATTTTTTTGTCGTTATTACGAAGACCCTGCTGCCCATCTCCTGGTTTGTTTCCCTCTGCCGCCTCTTGCGACACCTACGAGATGATATGGGGTAGTGGATATTATTACACCACCACTACATGGTAAATTAATAAATTATAGCAGGCCTGTCTCACTCCGCGCTTTAGGCATGAAAATATACCTACGCTGCGCGGCCGCCTACAAGAGGCTAATTTAGTGAGGTTGTCAGGTGCGCACTTGAACTGACTACTAATAATAATAATAATAATATTCCACAACTATCAAACAACGCCATCTAGTCCCAAGCTAAGCAGAGCTTGTGTTATGGGTACTAGACAACTGATAAACATACTTATATATTTCTAAATACATAAATATTATAGATAAATTACACCCAGACACAGAACAAATGATCGTGCTCATCACACAAACATTTGTCCTGGGTGGGAATCGAACCCACGACCTCCGGCGTAGCAGTCAGGGTCACTAACCACTAGACCAACAGGCCAGTCAACATAAAAAATAAGAGAAATACTTATAACAGAAAAAGTATTTTTCTCTTATATGTATTTAGGCACTTTTGATATTGATATTTGATATTTATTTTAGAGTTTTTATTCAAGTTCAACTGGCCTCTCAAAAAGCTAAAAGGTACTGCATAGCATGTGGGTGCTTAAATAACAATAGGAATGTCGCATTTTCATTCTATACTGTTCTTCGGGATACCAAAAGGTAAGATAAGTATAAGATTATTTATAGGTAGATCTAGATAATTTGGTATATATTTACTGACGCCATAGTTACAGATTTATTATTTGATTAGCAACCCGACCACAACTTCGCAGTTTTCGATTTTTTCGTGTATAATGCCAATGACCTTAAAAGCCTTTATTGGAAGTAGACCTCGCAGTACTAATGACTGCTTACTAATGCAAGATCAGCATATACAGGATATTAGTTTAACACTTGGTCGATAAAAGAAAGAGATTGAAAATAACAGCACTACTTATTGCCACTCTTTCATTAGTAATTTCGTCGCGTGTTGATGTTTATATTATATATATAAAATAGCAAAAAAAAATTGCAATAGACAAGTGACGGCTCCGCAGTGCAGTAGCTTAGCAACGAGTTGCAGTGCTAAGGACCGCGGATTCGGATTCCGCACGGAACAAGTATTTGTATAGCCTACAAATAATTGTTCTGGGTCTGGATGTTTGTACGTGTGAAATCTATGTATGTAAACTGCTATTAGTGTGAAGTAACCTTTTTTTAAAGAGAGAGGAAGAGAGACAATTAATGAAATAATTTTTTTTTACAACCGACTTCAATATTAATACGCATTATTCACGATAACACCAAAACTAATGGTCAGATCTTGATCAAATTTATATGAGATATATAAATTATAAGCACCAAATTTCAAATAAAAAATCGTCAAAATCGATTCACCTAGAAAAAAGTTCTTAGGTAACACACATAAAAGACTTATATACATAAAAGACACTTAATCTCATGGCTGTTAGACGGGAGATGAAGCTACATTCTTCAACAGACTTGACAGCATACAGGCATCTGAACAGACAGATCTCCAAATGCATGCGGCGGGACTTACGCAACTTCAATACAGCTCGTATTGAAGAAGCGATCGAGCGGAACCAAGGCTCCAAAGTCTTTGCCAGAGATCTGTCTGCCAGAAAGAGCCAACTGTCAAAGCTGAAGACAGAATGTGGCAGCATCGTTTCCGGGACACCTGAGATTTTCAGTGAGATTGAGAGGTTCTATGGGCAGCTGTACACGTCATCGTTGGAGCCACACGCAAGTGTGAGTAACGATCCAAGAGCGAGTCTCATCCGACACTATTCCGAAGATATCCCGGACGTCAGTCTGAGCGAGATTAGAATGGCTCTCCAGCACCTTAAAAACGGTAAGGCCCCAGGCGAGGATGGAATTACAGCGGAGCTTCTGAAAGCGGGTGGAAGACCGGTACTTGAAGTCCTTCAGAAGCTCTTTAATTCCGTCCTCCATGGTGGCATTACACCGGAGGCGTGGAGCAGAAGTGCGGTGGTCTTGTTCTTCAAGAAAGCTGACAACGCTCTCTTGAAGAACGACAGACCGATTTCCCTTCTGAGCCGCGTCTACGTGCTGTTTTCGAGAGTCATTACGAATCGTCTCGCGCGCAGACTTGACGACTTCCAGCCTCCGGAACAAGCCGGTTTCCGAAAGGGCTTTAGCACCATAGACCACATACATACCCTTCGGCAAATTGTACAGAAGTCCGAAGAGTACAATTTGCCACTATGTCTGGCGTATATGGACTATGAGAAAGCCTTTGATTCCGTCGAAATTTGGGCGGTGCTGCAGTCCCTTCAGCGGTGCCAAGTTGACTGTCGGTATATCGAAGTGTTGAAGTGCTTGTACAGTAGGGCTACGATGGCTATCCGAGTACAGAACCAGAGTACGAAACCTATCCAATTGCAGAGAGGTGTAAGACAGGGTGACGTCATATCCCCGAAACTCTTCACCGCTGCATTGGAAGACGTTTTCAAGCTTCTGGACTGGAAAGGATACGGTATCAACATCAATGGCGAGTACATCACTCACCTTCGATTTGCCGACGATATAGTCCTTATAGCCGATATAGTCGATATAGCTGGAGGACCTAAGCACTATGCTCAATGACTTCAATAGTGTTTCCCAACGGATAGGTCTTAAGATGAACATGGACAAAACAAAGATCATGTTCAATGTCCATGTCACACCTATGCCGGTAGTTGTTGGAAGCACTAAGCTCGAAGTTGTTGACGAGTATGTTTACCTGGGACAAATAGTCCGACTAGGTAAGTCCAACTTCGACCGAGAGGTCAATCGACGGATTCAACTCGGCTGGGCAGCGTTCGGGAAGCTACGACACATCTTCTCGTCAGACATACCTCAAAACCTGAAAACGAAATTATACAACCAGTGCGTGTTGCCAGTGATGACTTATGGAACTGAGACGTGGTCCTTCACTGCTGGCCGTATGAGGAAGCTCAAGGTCGCTCAGCGAGCTATGGAGAGGGCTATGCTCGGAGTTTCTCTGCGTGATAAACTTAGAAATGAGGATATCCGCAGTAGAACCAGAGTAACCGACATAGCCCAACGGATTAGTAAGCTGAAGTGGCAATGGGCCGGCCATATAGCTCGAAGAACCGACAACCGATGGGGAAGAAAGGTTCTCGAGTGGCAGCCTCGTACCGGTAGGCGAAGTGTAGGGCGTCCCCCCACGAGATGGAGTGACGACCTGGTAATACATGCAGGAAGTCGATGGATGCAGGTGGCTCAGGACCGTGCTTTGTGGCATTCTTTGGAGGAGGCCTATGTTCAGCAGTGGACTTGCGAAGGGCTGTAATGATGATGATGATGATGACACATAAAAGAATACAGTCGAATTGAGTAACTCCTCCTTTTTTGAAGTCGGTTAAAATGATAAGTAGGTAAATTATCTGAGTTTCAAAGATGTTGACGTTGTTAAATCTCAATTTTTCTCGATGTTGCATGTTAACCTTCCTCACATTGTACAATAATATTCTTATTATCGGCAAATTATTTATACATATTACATAACACCTCGGTGTATTCTACTGCGAACTAATATCAAAGGGTTCAATATTTCTCACAACACCTAACTCTACAGTAGAATCGGCCATAACAAAGGCGCGTAACAGGCTAAGTGATTCAAACTCTGGCACGCGGACGTAAGGTACATTTTGATATAATACGCGTGACTCATTAAATTTTTTTCGGCGATTTCTATCGGTAGGCTATTTTAATGAAAGTAGCTTCCAAGGGTGCAAAGTATTATGAACATAAGAAATATTGTAACTAGGTTAAACTCGTAAGTTTGCTATCAGAGAATGATCCTTCTGTTTTTGTACTATTAATTATTCTGTGATTATAGTATGAAAAAATAACAATTTTCATATAACAAGTTAAACGCATTATGTAATTATAGTAGGTATTCATGATTACATCTAAAAGTAAAAAAGTCATATAGAATAATAAATAGAAGCATCTTCTATTTATTGTCTATTGTTATATTGTTTCCCAAGGGGTAATATTTTCAAAGTAATGCATGTTCAGCTGTGGACTTAAATAGGATGAAGAGGATGAAAGTGGAACTCTAAGTTTAAAGTAGCTCGAGGGTTCTCGCTTTAAAAATCATTTGAAGTGAGAAACTCGAGTTTTTTTCTAACCATCTGTAAAACTTACCAATTTTAAATGATATTTGATCAACAGTTGGATTTCTTACAGAAAACATATCTGGAAAATTAAAAACATTCCGATTGCTTTTTAGGTCGGTAATTTGTACTCAAACTGTATGGATTACTTCTTCTGGTGGTGCTCAATTGTTTACTCAATATTTCTACTTTTATATACTATTTTATACGTATTCAAATTACATTTTTTTTTCAATTATCAGTATTCTCTATGTTGATTTAATAGCTGAATTTCTATTTCGTCCTTTGGTTTATAATGAGAATACATAATGATCTCCTGACCTTTGGTTAAATCCATTGTAACAATCTGCTATTTCCCAGATCCTATACTCAGACCAGCTCTTCTTGTACATATAAGAGACATAATTCTTAGTATTATAATCAACTTATGGTTTTCTTGTCAAAATCTCGAAAAGGTTTTAAGTACTCAAATAGTTAACGAAGAAAATGTCCAAGACAAGAGTTCATCTACCAGCGTGGCAATTTGGCAATTCTTTCCCTTATGGAACACGAGTTTATCTATAAGTAGTATCTATGGTTCATTTGAATGTGATCTCTTTTTTTAATTTTGATTAGATTTTTTATATATCGCGGAAATATGTGGTTAATATTAAAAATAATAAAAAATGTGAGAGCGGATATTCAACTCACTCTCTTGGTTACGCAATTAATAATGATCAGCAATAAAAATAGCGTACTGCACTACACATTTAATATAGAGCAATACAGTTCGACCATACCGTAATATAGTAACAACATGAGGGACGTAATTACATGATAGCACCAAAGTATGAACCAACAGCATGTCAGTGTAATACAGAGCAGACTCTCAGAAACGCGATCTTCATTGCCTACACTAGAAGTATTACTACTACGGACAGTACCAAGATACTATCTTAGCACTCGTTGCATGACTTCACTCGTAGAATGACTTAGGTGGAATCTCTCACCCACGACGCCTACAGTGAACTTTATACTGCACAAACGATTGGGGGGGTTTCTCAATATACCCTCAATTCCACCTCGCCACGATCGATATTACGACCCGCTAGAGTGATGCAACCTCTCGCTCATCGTCGATACAACCGGTATTTTATAGACTGACGAGTCTAGACATACGAGTAAGATATTAAGCAAGTGCACAGTTTATTTGATCCTGTGGCTTTTAGACACCTTCATTTTATTCTATGGCAAATAAAAATACAGATGAATTAGTAAAACTGAGTAAAAGGATAGAATGCCTGGTTATTGATAAAAATAGTCTACAGTCCTTGTCATTCGGCGCTAAGCACAGCAGTATTATGCTGTCATTTTATGCTAGCGTGGATATCGCATGAATACCGGACTTTCCTAATAAAGCCGACTCATTCATTTTGTAGCCAGAATACAGTTGCAGTGTGGCTACAATACTCAAATTTGCTACTAAAGGGAAACATTTACACGGAAGAAGTAATAAATTTATAATGATTTTGCCAAAATATTTAATTAAAAAATTATTCAACAATAAAAAAGTATTAATTGATATGACTAGGTAATGGTTATTAATTAACGTTTTTACATTCTAAAGAGCAAGCATGAATGAGTAATGATGCACCGCATGAATTGTTTGCTCTAATATTTTTTGCTACCTACGTGATGCCTGCTTGGTCAATTAGCTAGAGTACATTGTTGGAACCAACATTTATTTTCTTCAAAACATTGGGCGAAATACGCTTTTCGGAAACTGAATAGTTATATAGCATCTTTATTATCAAGTATGAATTCCAATTAGTACTTTTTAAAAGCATTAACTTAATTATTTTCCTCGATTTTATTGTTAAAAGCGTCGAACTCATCTTCAGTTTGGTTGTAGCTCTCGGCGGCTTGATCAACGTATCTGAACTGATCTCTTGCTTTAAGCTTATTAATTTCACTCCGTAGTACTATAAACAAGTAGATGTGTAGAACTGAAAAAGAAATTCAATAATGATTTGCTCGTATTATTCGTACTTGATATTTATTACAACATTAAATATGATGAAATTTTCCGTAAATGGTGAAATCATTCGAAAATTTCAGAACCAAAATTTCACATTACTGTAGATGGGCCAAAATTGACGGTGTTGCCTTCACACACCCATGATGAGTATAAGCAACTTCTGCATCTAATCCTTTCTAGCCAGCACATTCTTGGAATGGTTTTTTTAGAAGTAGTAACTAGTTATATCAATCCTCGATTAAGAACCAAAATGCAAATGGGTTGTTACCCCTGATGATTGAGATGGAATGCTTAATCACGTTCACCTTAAAAAATACATGGTATTATGCTGGTATTTGGTGGACTATGGTCCTTCCCCGGTCGAGCTATAATACAGCTCCTTTTTTACTCTTCCTGTGAGTTATGGTAATGTCCATTTTGTGATATACTTGTACTATTATATCACACAAGATTGCATCCTAAGATATTATATTAAAGTGCAATATGTAAAAATGTGTGCACTTAACGAGCTGGCATCGCACGAAGACAAAGTAACAGGGGAAGAAATATCACAATGTAATTTACCTATTAAAATCATCGATGTAGCATTCAACAAAGTTTCCTTAGGTATACGTAGTATGAAGATTTTTATAGAATAAGGGTGATAAATAACTCACAGTCCGTCTTATATTTAGCAATTGAATGCTGTGGCCAACTAATAGATACATATTTATCCCCGATAAATAACCAAAAATGCAGAATTGTTGTCACCCTCGAGAATTAAGATGGAATGCCATTCATTTTCAGTAAAAAAGGTCTCCGGTTCTCTAAATTCATCATACGAAACAGCAGCATATATCCTATATAAGATCCTATTTTACGCTGGTATTTCGTGAGAGCGTGGTCCTTAAATGTTTCTTTCTTTCATTATTTCTTAACTGGACGAGTCGAACCATTCGTGCTGCGGCCTTATTATAGATGAAGCGTGACTCTATCACGTGAAGAATCACAAACTATCATCCTGTTATAAGTTTGATCGTGTTAATTAATTACAATTATTTTTCACATATTAATAGCGGTGTAAGGGCTCCTCTTACATCTTCATCTGTCCGTAAAAAATCTACTACTGATCATAGGCCTCTTCTGTTATATAACTGATTAATCACAATTTCCATTTGATAGAGGAACTGGTAAGCATACCGCACGTTTTGAACCTTTGACACTGATCCCCGTCGCTGGTCTAGTTATCCTCTAACGTGCCCTAGATATTTAAACACAATTAACAAATAACAGCCCTTTGCAACATCACTGGTGAACTTAGGCCTCCTACAAGGAATGCCGCAAAGCATGGTGAGCCACCTGCATCCATCGAATTCCTGCATCTCTTACCAGGTCGTCACTACATCTAGTTGGAGGACGCCCTACATTTTACCTGCCGATACGAGGCTGCCACTCGATAATCATTATATAAATATAAATATAAATATAAATATAAATACAAATATAAATATAAATATAAATATAAATATAAATATAAATATAAATATAAATATAAATATAAATATAAATATAAATATAAATATAAATATAAATATAAATATAAATATAAATATAAATATAAATATAAATATAAATATAAATACAAATACAAATATAAATATAAATATAAATATAAATATAAATATAAATATAAATATAAATATAAATATAAATATAAATATAAATATAAATATAAATATAAATATAAATATAAATATAAATATAAATATAAATATAAATATAAATATAAATATAAATATAAATATAAATATAAATATAAATATAAATATAAATATAAATATAAATATAAATATAAATATAAATATAAATATAAATATAAATATAAATATAAATATAAATATAAATATAAATATAAATATAAATATAAATATAAATATAAATATAAATATAAATATAAATATAAATATAAATATAAATATAAATATAAATATAAATATAAATATAAATATAAATATAAATATAAATATAAATATAAATATAAATATAAATATAAATATAAATATAAATATAAATATAAATATAAATATAAATATAAATATAAATATAAATATAAATATAAATATAAATATAAATATAAATATAAATATAAATATAAATATAAATATAAATATAAATATAAATATAAATATAAATATAAATATAAATATAAATATAAATATAAATATAAATATAAATATAAATATAAATATAAATATAAATATAAATATAAATATAAATACAAATACAAATATAAATATAAATATAATAATAAATATAAATATAAATATATTACCTGCCCACTAGCAATATGCCAGGGAACTTTTCTTCCCCAACTGTTATAGGTCTTTGAGCTATATTACGGGTCTACTAGCAATATGCCAGAGAAATTTCTTCCTCAACTGTCGTAGGTTCTTTGAGCTATATTACCTGCCCACTAACAATATACCCAAGAACCTTTCTTCCCCAACGGTTGTCGGTTCTTTGAGCTATATTGCCGGCCCACTGGCAATATACCATCATATAAACTGTTAGCTTGATTGAATCATTACATCGTTACAACTATAAAATATAAAAATTTTTTGTGTACATACTTAAAAGAACAATAAAAACTGATGTCGTTGCAAAAATAAAGCGCACAGTTCTAGGATCATCTTCCGGTGCCGCCATTCTACTAATTCCATATAAAATCCATAACACACCAAAAACTACGAAAACGACCGCATGTCCAATCCCATAGCGATAGTACAGGCTCAACAATGTTATGTTTTTCTGAAAACAATCAAAACACAGATGTATTTTATTATAAGCCTTTGCTAATCATACCATAATCTAATAATAAAATATAAATAATACCATAATGACAAACGAGCACACAGTCCACCTGATGGTAAGTGGTTGCTGTGGCCCATAGACATTTACATCTTCGTTTGCGAATTAAAATGCAGATGCGTTGTCAGTCATGAGGACTAAGATGGAATGCCTCTTTTCCAGTAATAAGGGTCACCGGTTCTCTACACTCACCATACGAAACACAGCAGTATTAAGCTTCTATTTTACGCTGGTATTCTGTGAGAGCGTGGTCCTTTCCCGGTCGAGCCGACATTTCGTGCTACAGCTATACTATTAGTATAGCTGCAGCATGGCTCTACCACGTATAATTAAAATTATGTATGTAAGTATGATTAAAAAGTTAAATTCCTGCAATATTATATTTTATATCATTATAATGCTTTAGGGTGGCCCAAGGGCCACTCCAGCCGCATCTGAACATACTGTCACTGACATTTCAAGATTAGTAAAATGTTTTATTAGACGCATATAGCCTAATCATATGCGTAAGTATCAGTATATAATTATATATTATACACTTTATTTTATTCTGTATTTTTATTATATTTATTTTATTTAAATTAACATATCTCAGATATATCGGACGAATAAAAATAAATAAATAAAAAAAGCAAAAATAATCGTTCGATTATCTTATTAATAGATAGACACTTATTTTATTATTACCACATATTTTTATTAACTCACTTTTCGTGTATGTCTAGAATTTGGTAATTGATTCTAAGATAACTTCCTGATTAGCTAGAGATTTTAAATTTTGAACATAGCTCAGAATCGGTAGACAATGTAAGAATAAAAAAAATGTGGTATATTAAAGAAATACACATTGCACGCCTCATAACGCGAAGCGTTATTAGGTAGTGCATTACTCTCAACACGTCAAGGTCAAGCAATTTTTTGGTTTGGATAAAATTTGTTTGCAATTAATAACTAAGAGGCGCTTTTTTAACCCTTAATAGACAAAGAACAAATGTACCACACAGCCTATATTGATTTTACACTTTTAGTAATCGATTTATTTTGGTAATTTATTTTTTTCATCAAAACTAAATAAAACACTCATGAGGCGTGCACTTTTGGATTTTCCAAACTATTTTTTTATAAATTTCACTTGTTTATATCCTCAAATCTTACAACTAACTATTAAAGAGCATTCTTGTGAAGATAAAAATATTAAAAGATGAGAATACGTGGACATAATGAGCTTCCTTAGACTTTCTTTTACATAAATGTATATATTTTAAAAGGTAACATTTTAACAGTTGGGAGAAAAATAGTGTACTTGTGAGTGTATTGTCTCCTTTTCTAAAGATCTCCTTGCAGTAGTGACTTGTTGAAGCTATGACGTAGCATTTGATTTTCAAAAAGTGCTTTGTTATGGTCAAATTTAAATAAAATATTTCTCATTGACTTCTTTATTATTTGAGTAATACAAATAATGAATAAATGAACAAACTAAATGAATAAATGAAATATAATTTATTGTAAATCAATAAACGAGAAATAAAAAGTATAAATTATTCAAAACTGTAATCCTTATCGCTTAGCATGTGTACCAGGCAACCACATTGCTGCGGATATAATGACCAGTGTTAAAGGATAAGGGTGTACGCAAGTTATTGATAAATATACATATATGACAAAAAAGTAATATTTACGATGATATTATACACACATATGAACATACACACATTATAATAATGTATGATTTATAAATACATTTCTTAAGATATTAATCCCACATTAGGATTTTGTCCTGTATGGCAGTGGTGGTTTACATACATATCTTGCAGAAGGCCACACATCCATACCAGAAACAATTTCTAGGTCATACAAACACTCGTTCCGTGCGGGCTTCGAACCCGCGGCCCCTCAGCACCAAACTCTTAACCACTGCGCTAACGAGACATCTTGAAATCAATTTGTTAAAATACACAATAATAGTTAAAATATGTAGATAATAACTTCTGTAGGTATAATTAGCAAAGAAAATTAGCAAGAATTGATTACTTTTTGATACTATCTTTTTTCTACCGACTTCAAAAAGGAGGAGGTACTCAATTTTTATGTGTGTTACCTCATAACATTTTTCTAAGTAAACCGATATCGATGATTCTTGATGATTTTTGAAGCTGGTGCTTTTCATGCGGTTCCATATAAATTTGATCAAGGTCTAACGAATGGTTTTTAAGTTATTCTTAATAATTTATATAGTAGTCGGTTGTACAAAATTTTTAATTTTTATTATTTTGATTTGCACCCAATATTGCAAAATTTGTTAATTTAAGTTTTTAATTTAATTTAATTTAATTTAAGTTTATAAGTTATTGAGAATAACTCAAAAACTATTCTGTCCTTGATCAAATTCATATGGAACCACACGAAAATTTTCATATAAAAAAGAATCATCGAAATCGGTTCACCCAGTAAAAAGTTATGAGGTAACACACATACAAAAAAAACAAAAAAAATACAGTCGAATTGAGTACCGTCTCCTTTTTGGAAGTCAGCAGAAAATAGTTTTGCGTGGAACTATTTTATTCTATTTTGATGAGTGAACTGTCTTGTGGCGGTTAATGAATATCCACTACCCCATATCAACCCGTGGATGTAGTAAGAGGTGACAGAGAGAAATTGAAACAGGATATTTGTAACAGCTACTTACTGACAACAAAATGAAAAAAAAACGAAATAAAATAAACTGAATAAAAGCCTTAAGACAGTTTATTTATACTAATTGGTGCCCGGAGGGTTGATGCTACAAAACAAATAATTGTGGAAATATCGTTTTAAATTTGGAACAATTATATTGCTTAGTTAGGAATGATAATAATACATTCAGTGAAGTTGAATGATATATAACTTTCAAATTCATTTGTGGATACGACACGCGAGCCACCTACTGTAATTTAATTGTACTATGCCTATAATATTCGCGCAAGTGCAAGCAATAAGTTGACAAAATTTTAGCACAATCTGATGAACAAACCAAAATTCATTTTTATATATTAGATAAAATAAAGTTTTCTTACCTTATGCGATCCAATTATAAGCACAAAATTAAAGACTATATCAACGATAAGAATGAGCGTTGTCGGTATTATCAATATCAGCAAACCCTTTTCGAAATGTACAAGCAAAATCCAGATGAAAAGCCATATGACCATAACTCCAAACACTAATATGCTTGTGACCTGGAAATAGAATATTAATTTTATAAATTATTTCATCATCATCATCATCATTACAGTCCATAATAAGTCTACTGCTGAACAAAGGCCTCCCCCAAGGAATGCCACAAAGCACGATCCCGAGCCACCTGCATCCATTGACTACCTACATGTCTTAAAATGTCGTCGTTCTATCTAGTGGGGGGACGCCCTACACTGGACTGCCTGCTGTTACGAGCTTGCCACTCGAGAACCTTTCTTCCCAATTGGTTGTCGGTTCGTCGAGCTATATGGCCGGCCCATTGCCTCTTCAGCTTACGGTCGGTTACATTGGATCTACTGCGGATATCCCCGTTTTTGAGTATTAGTTATGAATTATTTATAACTTATTATTTGAAATATTGTAATAAAAATACGATATTAATATATCAAAAGGTGACATTATAGTCATCACCTATTATCATCACATGTATTAACCGGCGACGACGTCAATATGCAGGGTTAATGGCGTTCAAGGGTGCCAAAGGAAGTAACAATGTTCGTTAGTTAAAGATAATTAAAGAATTAAACCCAAATTAAAAATAAATTATTTTTATTATTATTTAGCATTGCAATTGTTTGAGAATACTTTGATATACCGCTATAGACTATCAAAAGTCAACTGCTGGAATCAGGCCTTCCCCATACATTGCTTCATTGGGATATTTGCTACAGTTGACACGCTTGGAAGGTGGATGGGAAACCGCAGTTTTTTTTTACAAATTTGTTATTAGAAAAACGCTGCAGCCTAGTTCCTGGTTTATTTTTTTATGTAGAATTAGGGTGACAAACGAGCACACAGTCAACCTGATGGTAAGTGGTTGCTGTGGCCCATAGACATCTACATCTATCTTCGTTTGCAAATTAAAATGCAGATGCGTTATCAGCCATGAGGACTCAGATCGAATGCCTCTTTTCCAGTAAAATAGGTCTCCGGTTCTCTACAGTCACCATACGAAACACAGCAGTGTCAAGCTGCCATTTTACGCTATTTTTATGCTATTCTGTGAGAGTGTGGTCCTTCCTCGGTCGAGCCGACCCATTCGTGCTACAACTAAACTATTAATAGCTGCAGCATGGCTCTACCACGTTCCGTCTGTCGCCTCTTACAACACCGACGGGACGATATCTGGTAGTGGATATTCCTTCACCGCAATTAATTGGTGAAATAATTTATTACAATCTATATAAAATGAATGTTTTAATATGTCCCTAAGTGAATAAAATTTCTAGGTGCCAGCTTCGTCATATTTTAAAAGGCGCTTGGTAATAAATCCCTTTTGAGCATGGTTTCGTTTCATCCCACTAATGACTTCTGTTTTTAAATGAGTTCAAAAATGGGTAGGTATTTAAAAAAAATAATATCTTAGAGAGAGTTGAGGGTGAATATTGTATTGTAACTATTGAAGACGATATTGTAGTTGTGACCCTTGAACTTGTAATATTTCTTAGAACATTCAAATGACTAAAAAATTAAACTCTCATTAAAAACAAAAACATACCTATATACAAATTTCCACATAATTACTTCTATAGTCGGAGCTTCTTCTTCGTTAAACTATGTCTTAGCACCGACTTCAGAAGCTTTAAATTTTATAAGTAATTTTTAAAAGTTAAGTTATTCATAGAAATAACACGGAAAATTCAAACATTTTAACACCTTACCAGTTTTAGGTAGGCCCATATTAAAAGTCCATACCTCAAGGGCGCACAAAAGCAGCACCTTGCTACCGACGTTATATCTTTGGACATCGTTCCCAAAAAATCCCAGAGAAAAAGAAAACACAAATTCGTAAACGTTAAAATATCACAACTGGAACTAGCGTGAATCCCTAACGAGCACAAAGTGCGAACTGTCCTATGCAGTCATCTGGGAAGGCCACATCGCAATTGATAATAGCAACTTGATGATAATATTGTATGTCCATCTGCGTGGCAAATAAGTTCACCTCAGTCCCAACTAAAAATGTTATTTTAATGCAATCACCTACATAGACGAAGAGGCCCATGTTCAGCGGTGGAGTTTTACGTGGTAGATCCATGCTGCAGCTATACTGGTATAGATGTAGCACGAATGGGTCAGCTCGACCGGGGCAGAACCACGCTCTCACTGAATACCAGCGTAAAATAGCAGCTTAACACTGCTATGTTTCGTATGGTGAGTGTAGAAAACCGAAGACCTTTTTTACTGAATACGAGGCATTCCATCTTAGTTTTCACAGGTGACAACGCATGTGCATTTTGATTCGTAATCGAGGATAGATGTAGATGTCTATGGGCCATAGCAACCACTTACCATCAGGTGGACTGTGTGCTTGCCACCCTTATTCTTTAAAAAAGAAAATCTTTACGAGCTGATAAAGAAGATGTAAATATAATTTTATAATTTTATAATACTGTTCTTATATAAAAAAAGTGTAGTGGCGGTGTAAGAATATCCGCTACCCCATATCGTCCCATGTATGTCGTAAGAGGCGACAGAGGGTAACTGAAACAGAAATTGAACCGCAGCACCTTTCCGATAACAACTCAAAATAATAAATAAATGCGGTTGCCAACCCGCTTGCCAAGCATGGCAACTTTGGCAAAATACCGTCTATGAGACAATCTTTGTGGGAGGCCTATGTTCGGGACTGGACTTATAAGGCTGCAATTGACGGATGTATGTATAAAAAATATCAATGAATTAACAGGAATAATTTAGTCAATCCGCTTTTCCAAGGACAAATTGGGTGTAAAACCCGTATTATTACAAAGAAGCTTATCGCTTCCTGTGACGCGTAATGAAAATATTATGATATTAAATGTTATTTTAAAGAGGATATGGGCGATTCCTAAAAATGGTTTAGTCCACGTGTCACAGTTTATGCGGCTGCGTCGTTGATCTAGTGGTGGGTAGCGCGGTCGCTGATTATGTGGTCCCTTGTTTTAATCCCGGGTTGGGCTAAGAATTAGCTATCGGGTGTTTCTGTCAAGAATTTTTCAACAGCAGACCGGAGACAGTAAGTTGGCGGTGTTTCCCCCCGTGTCCCGAAAAGCCCTTAATCCTACACTGATTCCATCGAACTACAGCAGTGAGGTAAAGGAGTGCACACTCGAGCACTGTAATCTGGTCCTGTTCAGCCTCCGGTCTAGAGGACATTGTTATTATAATATTAAGGAATTTATGGATGATAATAACCCCTGGAAATGAGGTGATCGCTACCAAGCTATTTCTAATTTGTTGTGTTGTTAATTTGTGTAACATCATGATTGTAAGCTGTTATTTAAAAAAAAAGTCCCGCTGGGTTTCTTGCTGGTTCTTCCCAGGACAGAGGTTTTTTCCGAACCAGTGGTAATCAAACAAAAGAATGACTTTCAATAAGTATTATTTATAATCTATATTGAATAAAAAAGTTTCTGTTTCTGTTTCTGTTTCTATTATTATTGTAGGGATATTTATATTGTTTTTTCGTCTATTTTGATTGCTCAAATACTTACAAAAGTGTTTAGACGAAAGTATATAGACATGGCAATTGTATAACATTTTTTCGCACTGCCAATACTTATTAAAACTATGAAAAAAATATTTTTAATCAAATGTCAAACTTTTTTAATATAAATAAATTAATAGTAATTCACAGGATGCCTTTGGTATATATTCTGAAACCTATTAAAAGCTTTCAGTGATGTTCACCTGAACCTTAAGCAGTGTAATGCAAGAAGTAATGCTTTTAAATGTATTATGTCATATTTAAATTTATTTATCATAGATAGCAGAAGGGAAAAATTGGCTATCAATGGTATAAATTCTTTTGGGTCGGTATTAAAAATCAGCCAGCCTCAGGGCTCCATTCTCAGCCCTTTTTCGTTTTTTATCTATATTTTATACGTAGTGGAGCCACGCTCCAGCTATATTATGGTTGTAGTTCAAATGGGTCGGCGCGACCGTGGCAGGTGGCAGCTTAATTCTCTTGTGTTTCTTATGGTGAATCTTTTTACTGGAAACGAGGCATACCACCTTATCCTCTATAGTGACAATGCGTCTGTATTTTGATTTTTAATCGAGGATAAATGTAGATGTGTATGGCATCATCCACTTACCATCAGGTGGACGGTGTGCTTGCTTGTCACCCTTATTCTATATAAAAAAAAGAATTAGTGACCTAACTTACATATTAGTGGATAACCATGATAAAGTATTATTTACTGATAATATTTTATTAATTTTCAAACTAAAACGACAATCACAAAAATGTGTTTTACTAAATTGGTTTAACGTTAATAATATGCATTAAAATGGCTCTAAAACTAAGTGTATAAAATAGATAATTCTAAATTTCTAACTTTAAAATACAAATATAATTCTAATGGAGAGGAGTTGGGTCTTGTTGATAACATCATGTTAATTTAAAACGGCTAGGTTAGTTAACTTTAGCTATTTCTATAGCATAACGCATATTGGTATTTTGCCATGGAGAAACGCGACAGTAACTTCATTTATATTTGTGTTGCAGAAGAGAGCTATAAGAGCAAACTATGATTTAAAACTTAATGAGTCTGTACTTAAAACACCCTTTCAGAAACGAGGGGGGCCTGTGTACAGCAGTGGGTCGTAACGCTGTTACTTTAACATTAACAACAAAATAAGAGAAATAATTTTAATAACTGCCGCCACTTGATGAATTTACGAAAATGTAATACAAGTAAACAAAAATAAAATTAGCTATTAAAAATATAAGTGATATTCACACCGTATATACTAGGTAAGAAAAAAGAAAAGAAGAGAAAAGAAATAGCCGAGAAGCTAGTAGTACCAATTAATCTACTCCACAGAGTCACTAATTCATGTATACTCTTTTTTTTATATGAGCGGGGGCGAACGAGCATGCGGCTCACCTGATGGTAAGTGACTACCGCCGCCCATGAACAACTGCAACACCAGGGGAATTGCGGGTGCGTTGCCGGCCTTTTAAAAAGGAGTAGGCTCTTTTCTTGAAGGTCCCTAAGTCGTATCGGGCCGGAAAAATCGCATGTGGAGGTCGATTCCACGGGGAAGTTGTGCGAGGTAGAAAACATCTTATAAATCGCACAGTTGTGGACCGCCAATCATCCAGATGGTATGGGTGGTATCGCGAATTATGTCGCGATGTGCAATGGTGAAATTGAGCGGCTGGAATTAGTCCAAACAATTCCTCAAAGCTCTCCCCGTGGTACACGAGATAAAATACGCAAAGAGATGCAACATCTCCACGCAGTGCCAATGAGTCAAGCCGATCGGAAAGAACTTTGTCGTCAACGATTCGAACAGCTCTGCGCTGGATGCGATCAAGTGCAAGGAGCTGGCACTGGGGAGCCCCTGACCAGAAATGGGAACAGTACTCCATGTGAGGCCGAACCTGCGCCTTGTAAAGTTGCAGGCGGTATGCTGGCATGAAATACTGTCCCGCTCTGCTGAGCACGCCTAGTTGTACAACAAAGTTCCTGAAAATATACAATTTTTTTTTAAATCTTTTCGTTGCCATTTTCAAATAATTAGACAAAGTTTGTATAAAAATGTTATTTTGAGTTTTAAGCGTTATCTTTATATATAAAAATTACGTGTAACATTGTTTGTCCGCGATGAACTCCTAAACTACTGAACTGATTTCAATGAAATGTGTCACAATGTGTGCAGTTTGGTTCAACTTGAGAGATAGGATAGTTTTTATCCCGATAAGTGACACTCAATTTTTTTTTTATTTTGAATTTAAGGATTTTTTTTAGGACACATGGCCGTCTGAGAGGGCAGAACAACGTCTGCCTGGTCAGCTAGTTTATTATAAAAAGTGTTGTTATATTAAGGAATGTTTGAATGATAATATCCCCCAGGAAATAAGGTGATCGCTACCAAGCTATTTGTATTTTTTGCGTACAGTTAAATGTGTACCATAATATATAATTTGTAAAATGATTTATTTTAATGTTCCGCAATTTTACAAATGATTAACTTTCACCCTTGAGGCATGAAAGCGTTCTGATTCGTAACCGAGAATAGATTTATATGTCTATGAACCACGGTAGCCATTTAACGTCGGGTAAACTGTGTGCTCGTTTGTCACATTAATTCTATGTAAAAACTATTTTAATGTGTTGTCATCCCAGCAAGTTTCGTTACCATTAAAGAATTTTTTCGTTAGTTCTCTACACTCACCATACGAAAGACAGTAGCAATACGCTACCTGAGACATCTCACCTCTTCATTTTCATCAACCCGTAAAAGTTTACTACTGGTTCACTAATGCACGGCGGGCGGCCGTTCGCGGTACTATATATCTCACAATTTAGGATGGTGCATCTACCATGTTCGTCGTCTCTTCTGACATATTTTTGGCATTAAACCAACCACTATTATGAACAAGAGGCATATCAATATATATATATATATATATATATATATATATATATATATATATATATGTGTGTGTGTGTGTGTGTGTGTATATATATATACGAACAAAATCTCACAGACTTGTAATAGGGTGTAGGTAGGGTGTTGTGTGTAGGGCGGCCACCCACTACATAGAGTGACGAACTGGTAAGAGATGCAGGAAATCGATCAGTGCAGGTGGCTATGGACCATGCATTGTGGGGCCTCTTGGGAGACCTATGGACAGCGTCTTATTACTATAAGCTTACTGTATACATTACAAATGAGTAGATACACTAATATATAGGGCTAATTTGCAATAAGCGGTCAAATTTGCAAAGAATATTTAGAATAGGTAAAAATAAATCAAAATGAATTTCAAACATTCTGTCCTTTTTATCTTTTTAATTTAAAAATGCGTGGTCATGCATTATTTTAACTGATTTTACTGCGCACGCACACATTCGTTAGGGTAATTAACGTGGTAAAGCCATGATGCAGCTATATTAGTAGTATAGTTGTAGCTCGAATGGGTCGGCTCGACCGGGGAAGGACCGCGCTGTCACAGAATACCAGCGTAAAATAGCAGCTTAACACTGCTGGGTTTCGTATGGTGAGTGTAGAGAACCGGAGACCCTTTTTTACTGGAAAAGAGGCATTCCATCTTAGTCCTCACGGGTGACAGCGCATCTGCATTTTGATTAGCAAACGAGGATAAATGTACATGTCTATGGGCCACAGCATCCACTTACCATCAGGTGGACTGGGTGCTCGTTTGTCACCCTATCGTATTAAAAAAAAGGTTGATCGGTAGACAAAAACGTAGTTGCCCATAAATCACATTAAATTTGGAATGACTTCAAATAAAAGTAAAAGCCTTATTCACTCGTATTTTCTGCTGCAATAACGGTATATCGTTATTTATATATTCGAACGTAAGTTTGAAATTTGGCTACTCTTTAAAAAATAACCCTGTATACAAGGGTTGCTATATGTTCACCTTCTTAAAAGTAACCACAACTTACCCAGTATTATATCTTGAGAAGTGCGTTAAAATAGAATGCAGATAATGTGTATATTTATCTGGGACTTATTACAAAAATAAATATGCCAACTCTGAAACATGCATAACATGTCGTTAAAGACGACAAATGGCATATTGGGTTAGTTAGTGTGTTGACGATGGGCTAGCTACTTAACACTTCTTTCACAACTTTCCATCTTCAGCTCGCTTCGTTGCTCTTTAGGGTCTGCCAATCCTTTAGGGAATTTAAGACGTGACGCTTATGTTCTATGTATATATATATATATATATATATATATATAATATTCTAATATTGCAGGATTAGGTGGCGAATATTAAACTTACAACTACACCTACAGTTTATTGCATAAATTCAATCTATTCCACTTATTTTATTTTATATTTTATTTAAAGCATATTTACAGCCAATATACATTTTATCCCTCTTTTTTCTGAGTTATCATTTTTTTACTAAGCCCGTCCAAGATGAAGATTTGAATAATAGGTCACAGTAATAAAATTATTGTATTTTCCACAAAATATACAATTACGTATAATGTTTGTTATAACAAAAGAAAAAACATTGTTATCATTTAGACCTGGTAATGTTTTTGTGTGCTTATCATTGCAATGTGTTTCCTTCGCGTAGATATTAATACGACAGTTCGCTCTCTGCGCTCAATTTGTCTGCATGCTTTGAACGCGTATATACTAGTATTTCGGAGATTGTGTGTTTATATTTGTGATATAAAATTTTAATACAATGTACACAGATATCCCATCATTTACGAAATGTTGCTTCTGTGCACCCTTGAGATACGGGCTTTTAGTTTGGGCATACTTTAAATTGGTAAGTTTAACTTTACTAGAATTTTAAAACGCAAATAAATCTATTTATGAAACCATGAAATATGAATTGATAAGTGGCTCGAGCTACATTATTTTTATTAAATAAGTGCAATTGTTTATAAACATAAGATACTTGTTCACTTGTATAATCAAACGTAATGATAAAAAGGAATACACCTACGTGAAAAAGCTAACTTAGTTAACTACTCGTAACTTAGCTACGCTTCCGGAGTTTCAAATATATTGTGTATTCTGTATTCATTTTCATTTACATATAAATGAGCCAGATGTAGCTGGTTGGGACTAAGGTGAAGTTATTAATTAAGATCTTCGTAACAAATAAGCTCATCCTAGTCCACAGGTAACACAGTGTCGAAGTCATTGAAAAGTTGCGATTTAAATATAAGTTTTTCGGTTTCAAGTTTATGTATATATATAAGCAAAACAGTGGATCAGTGCTGTATTATTAAATATTATAACATTTTTAACATCTCTAACTGTTCTACTTTTAGAAACTTCTGTAGTTTGGTTTATCCATTTCTAATCGAAACTACAATCTTTTACATTGAGCTTAACAGTGTACTTTTGTGCGTGATAGAGCCAACCTGCAGCTATATTTATAATATAGTTGTAGCACGAATGGGTCAGCTCAACCAGGGAAGGACCACGCTTTCACAAAATACCAGCGTAAAGTAGCAGCTTAATGCTGCTCTGTTTCGTATGGTGAGTGTAGAGAACCGGAGACCATTTTTACTGGAAAAGAGGCATTTCATCTTAGTCCTCACCGGTGACAACGCATCTGCATTCGTAAGCGAGGTTGGCTGTAATGACGAATTATGAAATGATCCCCCATTGCAATTTAATTATTGAATAATTTTTATGCATTTTTTTAGGTTACAAGTATTATAATATTCTTATCGGCTCTTACATGGATTCTTAGCTTAGTTATATTCGTAATCTTAGTTGGGGACGTCAAGGTTTTTATAGTGTTAGCTGTGACGACATTAACCATTCTTCTATTTGATATTATCTTCAACTTGGTGCTCATAATTGGCGCTCATAAGGTGAGTTTAATTTGGAAACACAATTTTTATTTATAATCTGAACTAAGCTACATATTACACCGTTTTTACAGCAACGCTGTTCATAACCACACTTTCCATCGGGTCTTGTCTCACTCTTAATTTTATAGCAACAATTTAAAAAAAAATAGGACAAATTATTCTGATTGTAAACTTTTCTTTTTTTTTAAATGTCCCGTTGGGTTTCTTGCTGGTTCTCCCAATGACAGTGGTAAATTATACATAAGAGCAACTTTCAATAACTATGATTTCTATAATCTATAATGAACAAAAAAAATTCTAATTCTATTAGTAACCGGGGTTGTGACTTTTCTGGCATTGAAAAATAAATGGTAAAAAAGGCTTTTCGATTAAAACTAAAAAAAAAAACTTTGTTTGAAATACAAATTGTATGTTACCATTATAACCAGTTTAAACGTTTAATAAAATAAATAATTTAATGTTTTATTTCTTTAAGATTAACAAACATAAACAAGGTAGTAGATGGGTCCTCCTAGTATGTTTGAAAGAAAAATTGTTTCCTACCTACCTGTACCTAATTGTGACCTAATTTACCTTACCTGTGGTCAATAAAAATTATGTCTTGAATTTGATAACTATTGTTGTAAAATTTTAATTTTCAGTTAAAAAATTTATTTTTTACTCAGAATAATATTTTTTTCAATAAAATCCCTATATATCCAAGTATACGTATCTAAAATTACAGCTTAATTCTTTTTCAAACAACACACTCGGCTTTTCCATAGTGCAACGATCCAATAGATCGAATTTCCGAACTTGACAAATATTAGAAATATTGCTTTGGTATCGTCAACATGCAAGTTTTCAAACATGCAATAAATTTTAACTTTCTACTATGAATGTATATAATACAAAATAATACAAAACAACGGCTCAGTAAGCTCACGTGGCAAGGGGCCGGCCTTACAGCTGGAAGAACCGATAACCGATGGGGAAGAAAGGTTTTCGAGTGGCAGCCACGTACTGGCAAGCGCTGTGTTCAGCGACCCCCCGCTAGAAGGGGTGGTAACCCGATGGAAGACGCAGGCAGTCGATGGATACAGGTGGCTCAGGACTGTACTTTGTGGCAATCCTAAAATGAAAATGAAAATGAAAAAAATAATTTAAAAAAAACAAATGAAAATTTTGGTTTGTTTCAGAAGCATACAACGTTGTTACGACTCTACTACCGCTATGGGATCGCACATGCGTTCGTTATCACAGCCTCTGCTCTCTTATTCATTGTTTATGCGGTTGCTTCAGCGAGTGATCCCTTTAGTAAACCAAAGTTATGGCATAACATTGTAATATTTGCATCGGCTATTTGTGCCTCAATGAGTAAGTTATTTTTACACAAATTTTAATAACTTATCCTAAATGCATAGATACATGATATATATACGCATGAATGTAATGGAATCAATTTACGCCAAGCGAGAATAATACAGGCTTTAAATAGGTAAGAGTATAGAATTGCTAGGTAGAAAGGAAGCCTAAAAATAACAGCATTTAAAATCCATTGATTCAGATAAATATCCATAGACCATATAAATAAAAATAGAAATATTTCCAAACAAACATAGGTGGCAGAAGTAATTTCTATTAAAATGAGGCTAAGGAAGATCGTGGCCTTTTGGTACAAGCATTTTTATATAATGTTAGAAATTAGAGTGCGGAGCTAAAAGAAAAGACTTTAATCCCACTTCTGATGTTAGAAGTTATCATATATAATTATTTAGTAAAAGAACACTACTCGGTAACAAACCTTTCTTACTATCAGAAGCTATTCTGGAGATCAATTGCGAAAAATAACAAAGGTGTGAGAGCCGATGCTCAACTCGCTCTCCGTAACATGTTCCCGTCACAATCGCACACCGATGTCACGTGAAGGACATAATTACATGATAACACCAAAGTATGCAAACCAACAGCAACACTACCCAACTCAATGTAACACAGGGCAGCCTTTCAGCAACACGATCTTCTTTGCCTACACTAGTAGAATACCCCAACGGACGTAGTAATGACATTGAGCCTCGTAGAATTACTGACTGACACCTCTTAGTCGCCTGCGCGATACTTTATACTGCTGGAACGGGTGAGAGATTAGAGTTTTACACTAATATCTTCATATTTTTAACCTAATTGCTAACAATACTTAAAAGAAAGCTAAACTCTCATATTGAACAATTTTTTTTTAAAAGCGTTACCCCCACACTAGGATTTTCTCCTGTATCGTGGAGGCAGTTTACAAACATACATTGCACGAGGACAAACACCCAGACCCGGAACAATTATTTGTAGGCCATACTAATACTTGTTCTGTGCGGGATTCGAACCCGCGGCCCCCGGCGCAACAACTCATTGCTAAGCCACTGCGCCACGGAGCCGTCATACATCATATGTATATATATATATCATCTTTGTTAACGAATCTTTTTTATTAAATTTAATTTTTTGACGAGGATTCCGTCTGGGTAGATAAGACCCTCTTACCTATTTCTGCCGCCAAGCAGCCAGCGCCTGCACTGATAAATTCTGGTCTGTAGTGTATAGGGAGCTATTATGATTACAGACTGTAAGACATTCATACTTAGTCCTCAGAGTTGACAACGCATCCGTAGACTGCTTTGTTTGAAATTGGCTGCTGGTGTCCATAGGCTACATGGAAGGAGCTAAACACTTACCATCAGATTGTAAGTTCGTTTGTTACTTCAGTTTTATAAAACAATGCTCATTTGTTTCAGTTATTCACACATACCTTCTGATATTAGTACGAAGTGAGGTACTAAAGCTGAAAGCGAATTCTCAGTTCATGTTTACGAACCACACCGCCAACCCCACGTGCGTCATGCAAGGCTCAGATGACGTACAGATATTAAATAAAGATATAGACGAAGAGACGTAAGCATTAATAAAACAGACCTATCTCAGTTCAATATTTTATATTTTAGCTAGTCAAAAATGTATATTAAGTTGATGAATAATATTAAAATCTATTTTTAAACGTATTGTTTTTGTTTTTCCCTAGGTTTTAATAATTCAAAATTAACTATTAAAACAAATATTTAAAATTATTGAATAATATAAAAATCTAATACATAACATAAATTTAATATTATAAATACATGCGTAGGAGTGACGACCTGGTAAGACATGCAGGAAGTCGATGGATGCAGGTGGCTCAGGACCGTGCTTTGTGGCATTCCTTGGGGGAGGCCTATGTTCAGCAGTGGACTTATGAAAGGCTGTAATGATGATGATGATGATGATGCGTAGGGTAGGTGAGCATGCATCAGAGTTATTTTGGTTGCAGCGCGAATGGGCTGACTCAACCGGGGAAGGACAATGAGTGTATAGAATTACAGTGAGTATAGAGAACCGGATACCCTTTTTGCTCGAAAAGATGCTTTCCGTCTTAGTCCTGGGGTGACAACGCAATTGCATTTTTATTCTTAATGGAGCATATTTTATAAAAGTAATCAATTTAATGTTTTAAAAGTGTGGAGTGTAGTTTTAAGTATGATAATCGAGCACACAGTCTTCTAACCTCACTGAATTAGCCTCTTGTAGGCGGCCGCGCAGCGTAGTATATATTCATGCCTAAACCGCGGAGTGGGACAGGCCCGTTATTACTTAGAAGCTCTAAGACCGCATACCATTCTGTGAGTATTGTTAAAGGTGACAACGGGAAATGAAACAGAATAGGAAGCAGTATTTTCCTAATAACAACTTAAATAATAAAAAAATGCGGGTGCCAATCCACTTAATTGAGGGAACAACGGCAAATATTCCACCTATGAAGCAATCTATAGGGGAGGCCTGTGTTCAGCAGTGGACTTATGATAAATAAAAATAAAACAATAAAAAGGTTTTATACATAAACACGGTCTTACAAATACATACACCATGATAGACTTCTTCTATTGAACGCATAATACGCCCGTATCAGAAGTAAGCCCCACTTCCATATTATAAAATTTACTAAAGGAAGAACCGCTTGTACTAAATTTAAAGAAAGTAAAAATAGTATGTGTAGTGTGTGTATATGAAGTGAATGTGTAGTGTATATGTAATAAGTGTGTAGTGTATGTGTGTGTAATGTGTTGCGTGAAAGTTTTCATACGTTTCCCCTCTGCACAGCCCTACAACATAAAAGGTCTAGGGATCAGCGTTAAGCCACTGAGCAGAGGTGGAAGTTACATGTACAAGTACATGGAGGTTATGATGTGTGTATGTATGTAATGAATAAGTGATTTATACATAAATATCCTCATATCAAAATTCTACTTTTAACAGGTTTTCAACTTCAATAAATTTTAATGTCTTCAGCCATTCAGTGAGTTTTAGTTTACAGTTTTTGTAAGTCATAGGATATATATCTAGTATTTTATTTATTTTATTATATAAATGAGACGAGATGTTTTTGTACTGATTGCGAGCCAATTTAGTCTTTTAGTGTAATTTAGTGTGGCGACTCTATCTTTTCTTCTTTTAGTTAAAATATTGGTGTCAATATTAAAGGACATATGTTTTTTCAGAACTACGTGCAATATGTATAGTTTACGAACTGTCAATAAATCTGCATATAAATACAATGACTTTGTTAAAAACTGACGTGTTTTGAAACACATAATTTTTAACAATCCCCTTTGAGCTTGTTCTAATTGTATAAAATGAATTTTTACAGCACCACCTCGTTATACAATAAATCAAAACAGATTGTGCCAACGCAATATAGACCTGATCAAGTAACTTTTTATTTGCAACGTGTCTTAGAGTTTTAAAAATCCACATTAATTTACGTAATCTGCCAGAAACTAATTCGATATGAGACATCCATGAAAGTCTTTGGTCCACTAAGACACCAAGGTACTTTTAGAAGTTAGTCTAATTATGGTCGGGCAATTGCAATTCGTGCTAACTAGCGGCTGACAGCAATGAATCTCAATATCACTGGGAATGTCAGGCAGACTGTTTTTATGGAAAACAAAATATAGTTTGTTTTGCTGGTATTTAACGTTAGTAAGTTAAGATTGAGCCATTGCGAAATCACAGCCAAGCTGTACTCTGTATTAGTCTTTAAATCGTTCAAGGAGTTGCCTGTAAACACAATGGCAGTGTCGTCAACATATGAGAATATGATAGCATGTGGGACCTTCATATTGCAGAGTTCGTTTATGTATATTAGTAGGGCCTAAGACAGTTCCTTGCGGTACGCCATAAGTAACACTAGTTTTTTTACTTATATGTGAACCTATGTACCCTCTGAGTCCTACCAATTATGTAACTTTTAAGCAAGTCAAGGGGCACATCTGTAATCCCACAGTTTTCTAACTTCTGCAACAGAATGGGGGTAGACACGGTATCAAATGCCTATTTAAGATCAAGAAACACGAGCAGGCTGCGAGGCAGTTTGTCTTTTTATCAAGATTATCAACAACTACAGAAGTTAAGGCTTCTACAGAGTTTTCAGTCGATTTCCCTGCTTGAAAGCCAGAATTTAATTAATGAATGTATAATTACTTGAGAGGGCAGAGAGGAAACAGGTAATACGTTCGTAATCGATTTACTGGTACTTGTGATAAAGCGAGAAAAGTGGAAGCAGACCGCAGTTATTATTATACTTATGTTCAACATTCGGTACCCGCGGTGCCATAAATCATTGTGCGCTAGGAACAGACGCGTGCGGAGCGTCAGTTATCGATAACCACTTATTGATTCCTACAGGATGAGAAGAATGAAAATGGGTTCTACGCGCTGAAGCACTTCAATAAGAAGTTTCGCAGAGGGCACATTTATGTGAACGCCTTGTCATTAGCGTAGGTAGCAATAGCGACAGTAACTCTGACTTCGACAAAGATTAATTATTGTATACCTATTTTAAATAATTAATTGTATTTTTGACCAATAATACGAGTAAATGTAATTATTGAATAGTGTTCTTTTAATTTTGCATTTTTTAGTTTTTCGTAATATACACATCAACACGACAGTGGTGAATATGCTATGCCTGCCGTAAGGCCCGTAAGTGCAACAGAGAGCGCAACAGGTGGCGTCCTGTTTTCCCATTTTATTGCGTCGCGGGCAGCAACTGTTTAACATTAGTATACAATAATAACCGCGGTTTGCTTCTACTTAACGAGGGTACGACACGATTTTACACAGATGGCACTGCTACGTTAGTTCGTAGCAGTGTCCTCTGTGTACGATCCATGAAGCAAACCCGGTGTCGATTAGACAAACACAAAAAGGTAAATAAAATATTTCAAAGGGGTACTTGGTTACAAGTTTACAGTTATTATTTCACTGTGAAACCTACAATAACTCATAAACGGTTTAGGGATAATTTGGCAGAAACATACCGGCTGTATTTAAGTAGATTTTATAACGAACTTTTCACGATATATTTTAAAACGATAATGCAAAATAACACATTATTCAACTACTTTTTTGCTATTAGATGTCAGATGAAGCTTGTATTAACGTTCATTGATATAAATAAGTAATACGAATCAAAATCCGTAATTTTACTAAATCATAAACTAAATGAATTTATCGAAGTTTTTGTTTTGCTATTGCAAACATTGTCTATGGAATGGAAAAGTGGCATAAAAGAAAGAAGATTAGAATTACATAGCTATGCTATTCTGTACCACGTAAAACGTTATTTGCATAAAAAGTTCAAATACAAGAATTTTGTTCTTATTTTAGGATTCCCTCTATGCTAGTAATTACTCTGAGAATGCAACAGAGGCTTCTTTCTTGAGTAAAACCCTTCTTAAATAATGGCTTAAACTACTTAAGCATCGGCCTTGCAGATAAAAATCAGCGTCAACTTAAGATATGTTTAAACTTGCCTATCATCACTAAATAACAATAGAAAGAGACAAGTAAATAATATAATAATAATAATTTTATACGTGGTAGAGCCATGCTGCAGCTATATTAACAGTATGGTTGTAGCACGAATGGGTCGGCTCGACCGGGGAAGGACCACGCTCTCACAGAATACCAGCGTAAAATAGCGGCTTAACGCTGCTGTGTTTCGTATGGTGAGTGTAGAGAACTGGAGACCCTTTTTACTGGAAACGAGGCATTCCATCTTAGTCCTCACGGGTGACAACGCAACTGCATTTTGATTCGTAATCGAAGATAGATGTAGATGTCTATGGGCCACAGCAACCACTTACCATCAGGTGGGCTGTGTGCTCGTTTGTCACCTTATCCTATAAAAAATAAATATAAATAATCAGGCGTTTGCGGAAATCCATTACATTTACGATGTTAAAATTTAATAGCTAAGATCTAAGTAAAAATAAGAATGATGTATCTTACCTAGTTTGAGAAGCATCTCCCTCCCTCCCACAATTGGGTGTGCCCCGTCACTTCAAATCCCAACACCAAAACACCAGGATTTAAGCGCCCAGCCATCACGGAGTCTATTTCTCTTGATGTTACCTCGTTAAGAAGCGAAATACGTGTCATAATATGATTTTTTTTTAAATGAACAACTGTGTGTCTGTCCTAGTGGAGTTATGTTTATAGAGAAGAGGTGTTAAAATTAATGGTGACGGGGATAGTGGCAGAAGTAATTTATATCACAATAAGGCTAAGGAAGGTAGTGCAAGTAATTCAATATACTTAAAACAAGGAAAACGTATAGTACTATACTACTTTAAAGCTTTGTCCTGAGAGTTGACAACCCATCTGTAACATCCTTGGCTTAGATATCCTTGGTTTAAAACGGGTTTAGGTTACCATGGCTACAGTAGGCACTTACCATCAGATTGTAAGTTCGTTTGTTACTTCAGATTTATAAAACATCGCTCATTTGTTTCAGTTATTTACATATACCTTCTGATATTAGTACGAAGTGAGGTACTAAAGCTGAAAGCAAATTCTCAG